GAAAATATTTTAAAAAGAAAAGCACTAATAACACCATGGTATTGAAGATATTACTTAAAGCCCTGTTGACTACATTAAGACAAGTTGCCTCTTGCTTGATCACACGTATATGTGAAGGTATTTGGCATAATTAATAAATTTATAATAGAGAACACTTAAGGAAAAATAACGTAATGCAAATTACACCTCTAAACAAGAAAAAAAAAAGAAAGGAAAGGACAAGACCTCTCCAAGCACAGATCTACCTGACTTTTAATATAAACCAATGCATGAAGATCAGAAAAAGGGGAGGCCAGTATTGTAGGACAGCAAGTAAAACCACCAGCTGTGACACGAGCATCCCACGTGGGCACCAATCCAGGCCTGAGGGCCCGGGAAAGGCAGAGGACGGCGCCAGCCTTCGGCTCGGCCACCCGCCGGAGACCTCGTGCCGGCCCGGCGCTGGCAGCCGCGGTCTGGGAAGTGAACCAGCACATGGGAGACTCACTCCATCTCTGTAAATGACTTTCAAAACAAATAAATCTTTAAAAAGTCAGGAGACTAAAGCAGAAGACCATGAGTCCGATAGTTTAAACTTAAATAGCTTGGCATGGGATACCTCAGTCTGTTTCGTAATTCCCGTTTCTCTTTCCTAAAATGACTTTGGATTTTTTCATATTGATAACCATACATATTTTAAGTAATTTATTTTGCTTAATTTCCAATAACAGTCCGGCTGACCCAGGGATTTCCCCTTTGATTACCGGTATAGACACTGACTTCCATCAAAGCAAGACTGCCAATCCTTTTCCTGAACTTTCAAGTATTTCCTTAAATCTAACACAGTGCTGGAGCAAATGCTCCCTGTGGTTCAAAGGGCAGGAAGCCTTCGTTGCCATTCTCACAAACGGACATTTGCTTTTGTGGACTGAGTCTTCTCTGTAATTAAACGCTCTCTCTTAGCCTTCCTATCACTTAACCTTTAAAACTTACAGAGTGGTCATTCCGCTCTTCCCCCATGCAGACAGCGCCCCTGGCGGTCCCCTGGGGCACTGACTGAGTGACCGGCTCAGGTCCTATCCAGCCCGCCCACGCCGGACTCGCGTAATTATCCTGTGAAAGTCAGGGTGTTGTAATATCTGATATTAGAATATGTTTAATATTAGGAGTTGGAAGGGAGTTAGCCTTTCTTCATTACTCTTCCTCTAAATTATTCTGACAGTTCTCCCCTGTTTATTCTAAATGAACTTCAAAATAATAATGTTGCAGGTCCCCAGAGAATTGGAGTTATTTTAAGAGACTTTGTAAGAACTTTTCTTAAGTTACCTTGGAAAGAATCACTGCCTTGACACACAGCTTATTAGCAGAAGAAAGCAGGATTAGTGATAAGCCCTTCGGGTGCTCTTAAGCTGGGTGGCTTTTCAAGGAACAAATTCAAAAGATGCTTTACAGGCCCAGCACAGTACCTAGCAGCTGAAGTCCTCACCTTGCATGCGCCAGGATCCCATATGGATGCCGGTTCTAATCCCAGTGGCCCCACTTCCCATCCAGCTCCCTGCCTGTGGCCTGGGAAAGTAGTAGAGGACGGCCCAAAGCCTTGGGACCGTGCACCCGCATGGGAGACCTGGAAGAGGCTCCTGGCTCCTGGCTTTGGATTGGCCCAGCTCCAGCCATTGTGGTCACTTGTGGAGTGAATCAACAGACAGAAGATCTTCCTCTCTATCTCTCCTGCTCTCTGTATGCCTGACTTTTCAATAAAAATAAAAATAAATCTTTCAAAAAAAAAGGTGCTTTATATCTGCAATTCAGAATATTGTCCTAAATGCATGGATGGGTTGCTTGCCAAGGGCAGCCCCGAGAGGCCACACGGCAAAGCTAAGAGGACCCCGGGACAAGCTCCAGAGCCGGCAGTGCCTGGACACTTGCCTCGGCTGGCCACTCAGGGCCAGTACTCCCAGGACCCCAGGACAAGCTCCAGAGCCGGCAGTGCCTGGGACACTTGCCTCGGCTGGCCACTCAGGGCCAGCACTCCCAGGACCCCCTGGGAGTCAGAGATGAGACAACGAGCCAAGCAAGGGAGGCTGACCAGTGATGCCCTCAGTAAGGGAGTCGGGCGGAGGGAGCTTCACCCCAAGTGGAAAAGTCATACATACACTAACGGAATGGTAAAAAGGGAGAAGCAGAAATCGGTCCATTGGGGCCAGCATGGTGGCGCAGGAAGCTAAGTCTCCACCTCTGATACCCAGCACTTGGGGCACTGGGCGTTAGAAGTAAGCCACAGCACAGTGGAGTTTTGGCCTCGTGCAGAGACTGGCGCGCTTTGCATGGGGGCGGGGCACACACAGGTTTTGCAATCACAGGGTTTTTGGCATCGCGTTCCGTGGATACCAAGGAATGACGCATTATACATATTGTGTGTACAAGCGTGTAGGCTGGTGACTCACATGATCATGAAGGCTGAGAAGTCCTACCACATTCTGTCGGAGCTCGGGCCCAGGAAAGCCAGCAATGTAGTCAGAAGCCTGGAGCCAACAAGCAGAGGATTCCAGTGGGCATCTACTGGCCTGGGACCAGCAGCCAGGAGGGCAGACGTGCCTGTCCCAGGTCAGGCCGGAAGGAGAGCCAGTGGATACAGTCCCGTCCACCTGCGTCGGGGAGAAAAGCCACTTTACTGCACTGACTGACTCAAACAGTTGCACAGACACACCCACAAGAGCAGCTCAGCCGGGCAGCTGGGATCCTTAGACCAGGTGACTCACAAGTCAGCATCGCACACCAGCTTCACTGCCCTGCCGCTCACAGATCCCAAGCGACGCCATTCCGTCTTCAGACTTCCTACAAACTACAGTGACACAGTGTCGTGTTAACAGACCAGAATGGGCGGCTCATGAATAGTATTAAAAAACTAATCAAAACACCTTGCCGTATGACCATGGCTGCATGGTAGGCCTGTGTAGAAAGGGTGAATTATTTCGCAACCTTAGAACTAATCATTCAAACGAAAACATTCTCGTAGATGTTAGTGCCCACTACAAAAGTGGGCTCCGTTACAGACTACGTGCTTTTAAAATAAACGTGCCTAGCTTGTCTGAAAAATCTCACTCACTCTCCTAACCAGAGGGTTCGAGAAAAGCTAGAATGAGAACAAGGTTGACTCGCTTCCACCCTTCCCGGACTATGCCAGGTTTTTGGTGTTTGGTGTTGGGGGTGTTGTTTTTCTTTTGTTCGGCTGCCATAACAAATCAACACCAACTCAGCAGCTTAGAGCAGCACAAACGCGCTGTGGAGAGCTTACAACACCTCGGGCCTGGCTCACTGCCCCCACTGAGCAGTGTCCCTCGTGGACGCCCTGCGCGGTCTGCAGCGTCGGCCCGGCTGTCGGCAGGACGCTCCGCTGCGCTCGTGGAAGCCCCGTGCCCCGCCTCGGGCCGCAGCCCTCGGGGACCGCCCCTCTCCCTCCGCACCAGCCTGCTTTTCGCCCTGTGGGCGGGGAGCCGAGGCTGCCCCGGTCCCCCGCGAGGCCAGCAGCCCACCGAGGCCAGCACCCGTCTTCTGGATCTTTCCGCCTGCCCACCTTGACTCACCCAGCTTGTGCGGGATAAAGTACGCAGGAAGGTGAGGAACACCCAGCCTCAGTCACTGGGACAAAGGCTTCCTCTACTCACGCCTGACTCGTTTGGGAAAGAGACTTTTAAAAAGAAATTGACAGCAAACACACGAAGCCGCCGAAGGAAGACCCCAGCTAAGCACTCACTTCGAGAAGCTTCCAGCTGGGGCGCACGGGGCGCTCTGCCCTGTCCCGGGGCTGCTCCAGGAGCGCACAGGTGAGTCAGGCACCTCCCACGTGCCAAGGATGCTGAGCTCGGGCTAAACGGTGCTCAGGGCTGAGGGCGCAGTGCCTAGCTGCAGCACCGTGCCAGGGACACCGCTGCCGGGCCTGTCCCGGCGGCTTCGCCAGCCTAGGACGTCATGACCACCTCCTTCCCCGCGCCTTTGGGGTCCCCGGGGAGCCCCCTCCGTCCCGAGCCCCGGGACGTCCAAGCAGGTCTGCGAGTTTGCTTTCTCAGCATCTTTTTAAGATACTTCTGAATCCCCCGACACAACTGTCATCACTCCCGTTCCTGTGGCACGGCCACTCGTCTGTTCTCTTTTTCTGCAAACCACTTTGAGGCATTATTGAAGGGGGTTTTTTAAGCTGTAAGTAGCTAGGTACTGTAAGCCGCGGCCTCGCGGGCGGGCTGTGGTTTCCGGGGCGTCTGCGCCGGAGCCTGAGGAGCATGGCGACCCGGCGTGCTTGCCCAGGCCGGGGTCTCGCCGCCCTCCCCGGCCGGGAGCCGGCAGGAAAGCGAGCGACGTCCGCCGTGACCGCCCCTCGCGCGGCCGGGGTCTCAGCCCGGAGCCCCGAGCCCGGGGACGCGAGGCGCTCGGCGTCCGCCCCTCAGCTAAACGCAAGGCCGCCCCGCGGTCTCCGAGCCGCGGGAGCCTGAGGGAAAAGCCCGCGCTCCCGATCTCCCGCCGGTCTCCGCGCTCTCGCGAGAACTGCCGATGGTACGGCCCGCCCCCCCGCCCGCCAACAGTGGGCCCTTCCGCCAGTAGATAAGCCGTGCGGGCGGGCGGCGCGCCCTTTTGCCGAGCTGGGCGCTGGGTGCTGGGTGACTGCAGGCGGGCGGGCGGGCGGCGCGCCCTTTGCCGAGCTAGGCGCTGGGCAATGGGTGACCTTGCAGGCGGGCAGGCCGCGAGCTGGGCGCTGGGTGACTCTGCAGGCGGGACCACCGAGCTGGGCACTGGTGACCCTGTGTGCGGGCGGGCGGCAGTCCCTATCCCGAGCTGGGCGCTGGGTGACCCTGCAGGCGGGTGGCGCGCCCTTTACCGAGCTGGGCACTGGGTGACCCTGTGTGCGGGCGGCGGGCCCTATCCCGAGCTGGGTGCTGGGTGACTGTAGGCTGGCCCTTTCCCGAGCTGGGCGCTGGGCAATGGGTGACCTTGCAGGCGGGACCACCGAGCTGGGCACTGGGTGACTCTGTGTGCGGGCAGGCGGCAGTCCCTATCCCGAGCTGGGTGCTGGGTGACTGCAGGCTGGCCCTTTCCCGAGCTGGGCGCTGGGTGGCCCTGCGGGCGGGGGCCGGCGGAGGCTGCGGGTTGTGGCCGTGCAGCGTGCGGGACCCTTGGCAGGTGAGTCGGCATGGACGGCAGCCAGGGTGGGCGCTGGGCAGTGACTGCACGCCTTCGTGTTGCCCGTTCGCCTTCACCCGCTGGCGGCCGTGGTGTCAAGCAAGGCGGACATGAGCGCTTGGCAGCCTTTTCCGGCCCGGAGGTTGGTATCTCCGACGCAGGACCTGCTAAAGCCACAGGCGAAGCGCGCTGGCCGGGACTGGGCAGCCCGGGCCGGGCGGGCAGCTCGCGGGTGAAGCTGTCGCGGTCAGATACAGAAAGGAGTGTGTGTTTTGTCGTACTGCCATGTGATGAGCACTTGCGGCTAACCCGGGTACCTTCTCTTTTAGGACCTTCTTGGGGGACTTTGGAGACGGGACGCTGACAAAACAGGGATTGTGACAGGCCTGCAGAATGTTAACAACTGTACTGAATAAAGGGTCAGTGTGCTGCTTTGAGGTTTGCGTGCTTTGTGCTTTGTTGCTTCCTTGGGACGGGCCACTTTGGGTTATGTTAATGTCCAGTTAGCACTGGCGTTCTGGTCACTCTGCTGGCTGGGCCAGGTGAGCTCACTGCCCTCTGGGGGCTGTGCGCCTGCTGCCTTTGCTCCAAGTGCTCGGGCATATTGGGAACTCCGTGCTGAGCACACTGGCTCTCAGATCTGGGCTGGGGGGAGGAAAATGCCGTAGGAAAGCCATCCTCACATGGCAGAAGGCACGGGCTTACAGCGGGAATCGAGAAGGGACCGGTGAGGTCTGGCCAGCTGACTACTGGTCAGGTGTCCAGCTTGCGCTTGGCCTGAGCACGGGGTGGGGCCTTCCGCAGAGTTCAAGGTCCCTTGGGTCTGGGCAGGACACATACATGAAGAAGTAAGGGTGAGCTGCCCAAAGCAAACTCGCAGGGCAGGAATTAGCCTTACAGGCACTGAGGGCGAGTAGGGAGCGAGAGCAGATGGTCCTGACAAACGGTGGGAAGGGTGGCAGGCACAGTTAGCTCAAGGTGAGGGGTCAGCCTTTTCTGAAAACAAGACAGGACACGATAGGAAGCAAAGGCAATACTTGGGAATATTTCTGAATCACCAGTGGAACTCAGTGTCACAATAAAGTGTTACAGTGTGAAGTAGGAGATGCCCACACTGACCGGATGCCTCAACCACCTGTAGTCCCTGCTCCCACTGGGTGTCCTGCCAGCAGACCGGCCGCAGCCCAGTGTCCAGGCCGGTCACAGGCCAAGGTTGTCAGGACTAGAGGTGCCATCCTGTCCCCCCCAGGCACTTGTCCTGTCGGGGTGCCAGTGGTGCCACCCTGGCCGGTCCCCAGCCCTCTGCTTGGGCCAGCTCTTCGTCCTGGGGCAGGCCTATCCTGCAGGAACGCGGCTCCCGGGGCACGGCCAGGGTCAGCTCTCGGTCCTGAGACGCGAGGCCTGGACAGTCTTGACGGTTCTCGCAGTGTGTTTTCCAGCCAGGTTGCTTGCAGACATGTGACACTTCTCTTCAGTGAGGCTATCTTTAGACCCATTTCTTCTCTGGAAAAAATAAGAGATTCAGAACAAAGTAAAGCCAAAGCTTGTGCGTTCTCCAAGCAGCGGAGAGGACAGGCGGCTGGAGGTTGCTTCTGAAGTGGGTGTGGACTCCAGGCTCTGGCACTGCATGCCAGCAGTTGTGGGACTGGGCCTTGGGCTGCCCCTCCTGCTGGCAGAGGCGGCCACCCAGGGGCCATGTCTCCGAGGGCGGCCTAGCACCGGTGCTGCACCATTTAGGAATTCCTGCATGTGGGCCGGAAATCTTGAAGTGACTTCCAGTACCGGATGAGCAGTTGGGGGAGGAACCCACTCTGCCTGGGGCGGGGAGGTCCAAGCGCTGGTTCACTCCCCAGATGGCTGCAACGGCCAGAGCTGAGCCAGGAGCTTTGTCCAGTCTCCCACATGGGTGCTGGGTTTGAAGGCCCTTCAGCCATCCACCACTGCACTTCCAGGCTATAAACGGGGAGCTGGATCAGAAGTGGAGCAGACAGGACACAAACGCACCCACGTGGGATGGTGATGCTTGTAGTCAGAGGACTAGCCAGTTAAGGCATTGCACCAGCACCAGTATTTTTTAAATCAGTAAAACTCGGAGGCGGCATGGCATAGTTGGCTAGCATCCCATATGGATGCAGTGCTGTTCCAAGACCTAGCTGCTCCATTTCAAATCTATCTCCATGCTTATGGCCTGGGAAAGCAGCAAGAGGATGGCGCAAAGCTTTGGGACCCTGCACCTGCTTGGGAGATCTAGAAGAAGCTCCTGGCTCCTGGCTTCAGATCAGCTCAGTTCCAGCCATTGTAGCCACATGGGGAGTGGCGTGCTCTCTGCACATCTCTATAACATTGTTTCACATTAAAAAATGAAATCTTAAAAAATAAATAAGTAAAAATAAAACTGGCTCCAAATAACCTTAGAATCGTGGTTCCCCTGGCCTTATCCAGACCTCAGACCACTTTAGACCTTGCCCTGTGGCCAGCCAGCTCTCCTCAGAACTTAGCCCTGCCCAGGTGGTACCCTGGGTGGGGATGCTGACCCCTCCTTCTGTGGTTTGCACAAGTCCCTGTAAGACAGACTCGCAGGGGCAGTTAGGGTCCCCAGCAGAAGTCCGTGGCGCGTTGTCCTCTCGCCTGCCACCAGCCCATACCCGAAGCCTTCCTGTGCACCGACCTGATGTACCGTGGCGCCTCCTGAGCCCTGCGCGTCTGCGGAGCGGGTCACCGGCAGCGGGGGGACCAGGTCCGTCTTGGAACTGCAGAGAGCAGGTTTTAGGGTTAGCAGGCTTGGAACTCCCGTGGGAGGGGGTGGCAATGCAGATGGAACATTCTGGAGAGTTCTATGGGGAAGGCGCGGACGTGCTGGGGCTGCCCACTTACTTCAGCTCTGAGAGAACAGACCGCTCTCCATCCGAGCACTGGGACCGGCGGTACTGGCGGTAACTGCGTGGTGAATGCGAGTGTCTGATGCGGACAGGGTCACCCTGAGTCCTGGAGAGGCAAATGCAGCAGGCGTCAGGGTAGGCAGCAGGCGTCCGCGTGGGCAGCAGGCAGGCAGCTCCTCCCTGGCCTTGCTGTTAGCCACATGTGAAAGCGGAGCTCTTCTCTGCAGTGTGTGTGTGTGTGTGTGTGTGTGTGTGTGTGTGTGCAGCCACTAAACTTTGAATGACATGAACTCCCTCCAGTGTCAAGGAAGGAAAACCTGCACATGGGTGTCCCAGCCATTGTGTGAAGGTGACTGCGGGCCTGTCACTCGAGGACACGATCTTAACTTGGAGTGACGTTCAGTATTCTTACACACAGACACGTGTGCGCACATGGACATGGACACACATGCACATACATATGTACAGAGAGGCATGTATACACAGACACGCAGGCAGGGGAGGGGATGGATCATTAGCCTGACTTCCTGGTTTATATCAGGAGCTGTTTAGTCAGCTAATGGATTGGGAATGCCAGGGAAGGGTAGGCCAGGAAGCAGAGGTACAGGAGGGCACAGCAATGAGCAGCCGGGGGGTGGATCCACAGCCTCGCCGCAGCACCCACTGCCGGGGGTGGGGGTGGACCCACAGCTGCAGCACCCACTGCCGGGGGTGGGGGTGGACCCACAGCTGCGCCACAGCACCCACTGCCAGGGGTGGGGGTGGACCCACAGCTGTGCCGCAGCACCCACTGCCGGGTCCTGCTGTGCTGCCGAAAATCCTAATCAGCTACATGATCTCACACAGGGCAGGGCCTGGCCCGGGAGCGGAGTAATAGGGCCAGTGGAATGGAGCCTGTCCTGGGGCTGGTGTGACATGGCCAGTAGGATGGAGCCTGGTCAGGGCCAGTAGGACAGGGCCAGTGTGACAGAGCCAGTGGGACAGTCCCTGGCCCGGGGCTGGTGTGACCGAGCCTGGTATGACAAGGTTTTGTGGTCAACATAGCTCTCTTGGTGTGAAGATATGAGTAAAAAATGTAAACATTTGTAACTAATCACTAAAAAAAAGCTCACATTTAAGAGTGAGACTATTAGAGTCCCTCCTGCACTTACCAGGGCCAAACAGGTGGTTAGTAAGCGGCTGACCGGTGGGTCACGAGCAGCTCACAGGTGGCTGGTGGTGACAGAGGCTGTCGGAATGAGGCCACTGGCTTTACCCACCATTCCTACCTCCTTTCCAGCACCTGCGCTTCCTCTTAGTTAACACATAAAGACAAGTCGCCCCGCGTGACCCAGCCAGGTGTGGATGGGCGCTGGACACTGAGCTGGCTCCTGGGGAGACACACTCACTCCACTTTAGTGTACGGGATCTCCTTCAGCTGCTCGTCCGACAGCCCAGAGGGATCCACGAGCTCCTTTCTAGAAGGAAACAAGAAAATGCAGGCTGTGACACCCACACTAACATCCCACCATCTACAACCTGTCCTACAGCCCAGGCCAAAGAGGGCAAACTCAAAACTCCAGGAGGGAGCCGTTCTATGCCGACTCGGCCACCCCCACGGCCCTGTTTCTCTGCCCTGTGTGCTTGTCATTTGCCTGGATTCCCTTGAGATCCCCTGGTAAGGCACTGGTCTGACACCCGTGAACAGCACACGCTCCTCGAGGGGCTGCCTGTGGGAGCTGCTGGCAGGGTGAGGCTCCTCCCTGGGGACAGGGGTCTCCAGCGCCACTGATCCCGGGGACGGGGGTCTCCAGCGCCACTGATCCCAGGGAAGGGGGTCTCCAGCGGCACTGATCCCGGGGAAGGGGGTCTCCAGCGGCACTGATCCCGGGGACGGGGGTCTCCAGCGCCACTGATCCCGGGGAAGGGGGTCTCCAGCGCCACTGATCCTGGCAGCAGACAGCTGTACTCACTGAATGTGCTTCCACAGTTCCTCTTTCGCCTGAATGTCTGGACTCCGCCTGTACCGGAGAAAACAACACACCTGTCTGTGATGCTGTGCCACCCTGGCCCACTCAAGCCCCCAGCGTCCCTTCAGATGGGGACATTTCCACCTGCCAGCCGAGACCAGCCCAGGAGAGCCTTGCAGTAGCCAGTGCAAAGACCTCATGTACGCTCAGCTGTTGCCACCCCAGCACACACAGCTGCCCGTGTGCTGCGCCTCCCTTGGGAGCTCAGAGCAACAGGGCCACCCACCCCACGGTGGGACCACGTGCTCAGAACCGACTCCACACCCAGGGACCAGAGCTGCAGCCCAGCCTGTGACTGGCCAGCAAAAGTGTCAGTCACTAGATAAAGCAGCTGGTGGGGGGCCAGATGGCAGCTTGTGTTGGGGTGTGGCTCCCACGTCACATCTGAGGGCCACAGCCTGGGCCTCCAGACACTGGACATCACCCAGCTTCTGCTCACACTGCCTGCCACTCTGTGCCCACCCCCAGCCACCAGGAGCTGCCCAAGTGGAAGTGACACCTCTGTCTTCAGGGTCTTCGAGTGAGATGGGCCCAGTGGCCAGTGTTGTGGCGCAGCATTCTGCGCACCGTATCTGCCTGCCAGGTCGAGACCCACCTGCTCTCCTTCTGGTCTGCCTGCCTGGGACACACCTGGGACAGCAGAGGGAGATGTGCCAGGTACTCGGGTCTCTGCCACCTGTGTGGGACACCTGGCTGGAGCTGCAGCACCTGCCTTCAGCCTGCTCCTCGGGAATGGCTCGCTCTCCTCCCTGCTCCCTGTGTATCACTCTCCCAAATAAAACATAAACAGGCCTGGAGCCAAGCAAAGCCATCACACTTGGAAATGTCACCCCGCAATGTGCCTGGCACAGGAGTTACCCGGGGGTATCGGCCTGTGAACGCCATCGTCTTCCACTGGTGCCAAGGGCACCGCAGGGGCGCCCACGACGACCTGAGGCCACAGAACACAATACGTGGCTTTCTGGGCGTGGCATCAACCAAGTGCGTTTTCCTTTGTGGGAAGCAGAGATCTGCCTAGATAAAGTCAAGGGCAGCTGAGGGGCGGGGACGAGGCCTGGTCTCAGCCCAGGGACTGTGTTGTTCAGGACTGATTCTGTTCTTGCAGCAATAAAGCTGCTTTAAAAATCACAGAAACTACTTCTTGGGGAGGAGTGCCCGTGTGGGATCTGGCTTGCCCACACCTCCCGTGTGATTCATGAGACCTTATGCCAAGCCTTTGCCCGAGCCACAGCCCAAGCAGCGCTAACACGGAGCAGCGCTGGGAGGCTCCGGTTCCAGGACACTGACGGTTCAGAACCGACACCAGGTCCGACGCGCCCAGCCCAAAGCAGTCCTTCTAGCCTAAATGCTGCTCCTAAAAGGACAGGGCTCGGCCTGTGGCTTCACACTCTAGAACCACCAAGCGTTTATAGTAAATTGAGTTCTGAAGTGGCCAGCAGTTACAGTTTTTAGGCAGGGAAAAGTTCCAAGGATTAAACAATGCTGATTTCCCACGACTGCCAAACCACCTATGACTCAACAAACATCAACAAGCCACAAACTGAGGCTCACGAGGTCCTGGGCGAGGCTGGGCGCCCCGAGAGCCAGCAGCTCTGACAACAGCACTCACGGGGCTTGTCCTCATCCTGCACCTCAGGCTTTTGGGGTGCTAAGTGCATATACACACAATAACCCAGCAAGTCTGAGCTAGCTCTTCTGAGAGGTAATAGCCAAGCGGGTGGCACTTCTCTGCCTTCAGAGACTATTCCAGAACTTCTGCTCCTGGCCAAGAGCGAGCAGCACCTGAGAGGAGCCCATCCACTCTGCAGCTGACATGGCTACCTCTTCCACACGGGGCAGCAGGCACAGAGTCCAGTCTCCCAGGCGGGGAGGCAGGCACTGCGGCAGCGCTCCGGCCTCACTCCCATGCCTGCCTGGCGTGTTCCTACCGTATGCCAGGGGGTGCAGGGCTCCAGCAGCAATGTCCCCCAGAGCCCAGGAGCCTGAGGAAAGAACTTGAGGCCCTTCGTGAGCCTGGAGTTTCGGGGCTGGGTAAAAGCAAAAAGACGGCTGCTCAGGGCACCCTGGGAGTCTGCGCGGGGGTCTCCCTGTGTTAGCTAGGCATGTTCACAGAACAGCAATGCCTAAGGCTGGGAGGACAATGAGAGGAGACTGCAGTGGAGAGATGGTGGGAACCGCAGAAGGGTGGGAGTTGGCACGGAACAGCCAGCAGAAGCTGAAACCTCGCCGCATGAGAGCACTGAGCCACAGAGCTGAGCTGCCTGCCAGGACACAGCCTGAGCCTCCTTGTATAAGACAGCTAATCCACACCTCCTGTAACACATCTCTGAGGTCTCTGGAACACAGTACAAAGTCCCAGGGTGCAGCAGGAGAACTATCAGCCAGGGAGTCAGAGGTGGGGCAGTCACCAGAGACAGGCTTTGAACAGGCTGGGTGTGTGCTTGGGAATTCTTCTAAATACACAAATGACCAGAACCTATGCAAACGCTTGAAAATATGGACAGCGCCACATGCGTTAAACAAGCTGGGTCTTCAGCTGAAAACTTCCCACCCACTCAGGCATGCCAGTCTCACTGGTCAGTTAGGTCAGATATTTCAGGAGGAAAGAACACGCCTTCCACGAGACCCCTCGGGAATCAGAACGAAGAGGCCCCAAACCATGCTGGATGGCCAACACAGCCTTAACCCGACAGACGCTACAAGAAAGTGAAACATCAGGATTTCCATGAATAGAGGGAAAGATGTGTAAAAATAATGACAAATAGAACCCAGCAATTTACAGGACAATGCAGCATGATCACAAGGGACTTGGCCCAGGAGTGGAAACGTATCATTCGAAATTGCACCAATGCAATCCTCCACGAATGCAATAAACTCACAGCCCATCACCAGCAGAAACGGCTGAAGGCTAATTAAAAGGCCTGCGTGTGAGCAAAGGCCAGCAGCTCCCTGGACACTGGGCACGGCCAGGCTCCTGCTCACCCTCAAGGCCGTGGGAGGTGTGGAAGGGCAGTGCAACCCCGGGAAGCGGGCAGGCTGCTGCTCCGCAGCCCGTCAACGCTGGACCAGGAGACCGAGCCGGCCCAGTCAGGGGAGAGCGAGCCACAGAGGGAGCACGGACTGTGAATAAAGGAAAAACGCCTGGACTCGCAGGCGACAGCACGCTGGCTGCAGGAGCCTCGGCTGGTAAACAGCACTAACTCAACTGGACAGTCCAGGGAAACTCCATGTCCACCTCACACACGTGTAACAGCCAACTATCCAAACTCTACAAAGCCAGGAGAAGGAGATGACCTCTGTGACCAAGCTGGGAACACACCTGCGGATGAGTAAGAGCAGTTACACACGTGGGGTCCCCCGGCCTCCCCCAGGGCACAGTGTCAGCCCAGCAAGGACCAAAGGACATGAGAAGGCACAACGGTCAGGGAAGCAGAATTCCGCATCGCCATCAGACTGTACAGCTCCTCGAATGGACACTTCAAAAATACATGCATACGATAGGCAAAACAGTGTGATCAGCACCACTAGTCCAGGGAATACTAATTAGAACCACTGAGACATTGCGCCAGGCCTGCTATAAACGCTAAAACTATGCATCAGTGCCACGGCACAGCAGGCCAGACCACAGCCTGCAGCGCCAGCAGCCCCTATGGGAGCCAGCTCCCCTCCTGGCTGCTCCACTTGCAATTCAGCGCCCTGCTAATGGCCTGGGAGAGCAGCAGAGGGTGGCTCAAGTGCCTGGGGACACCTGGAGGAAGCACCTGACTCCTGGCTTCAGCCTGGTCCAGCCACATCCGTTGTGGTCATCTGGGAGGTGAACAAGCAAACGCAAGAGCTCTCTTTCTAACTCTACAAGATTTAACAATAAATCTTTTTTAAAAAACAAACCTGAAAAGACCTAGAAGACAAAATCAAAGAGAGCAACAACCACATGGAGCAGGCACTCCCACGCCTCGGTGCTACCCGTTCCCCAGGAACACGGCCCCCACTGGCAGTGAGGGAGGCTCCCACCTCCTACCTGCCTTGTCATAGCATCAACTCCAACATCCCTGCACTGCCCTGACCGGGTAGCAGGCCCTGCCTCTCACGCTGAGCCACACCAGACTCCGAGCCCCGGCCGCTACTCGGGATTCATGAAGGGTCCAAGTACAACCCAGCTCGCCCGAAGCAGGCAGCCGGGCTGGGTGTGTACACCTTGACGATGATGCATAGATTTAAATCTGCACATGAACAGGTACATACCTACATGCATGTGTGTATATTCACCTGCACATGTGTTCATAGCATCCAGCCATCTTACTGGCAAGGGCTGAGCTGCGCTCACACATGGCATTACCTGGCAGAGTGCATCCATCACAACCCTGGGGTGTAACCCGACAGAAGACTCTTGGCTCTGCTTCTGCTGGAAACCAGGTTTGAGAGCATCCCGCCAGCTCCAGCCCAGCCCAGCAGCAGGTGTACACCACAGCCAGGGCCCACACAAAGCGGGCAACACCTACCGATCCAGCCAGCTGAGTGAAGGCTTTTGTTTGAAAACAACACAAGACACAAGTCCGGCTCTGATGGCCTTGTTCTCCTGACACTATGAAGTGGCTGTGCTGCAGCCTCTAGGCTCTAAATGTACAGTCCATGGACATCATAGACAAAAAAGGTCAATGTGCCACGTACACACGGGCTGTCGGAGGCTGAGTGATCACCTGCACGCTGCGCCGGGCACAGGCTGTCGCTGCTGCCTGGCTTTTATTTGAAAGACAGGGATCTTCCACCTGCTGATTCACTCCCCATCCACCTGTAAGAACTTGGGCTGGATCAGGCTGAAGCCAGAGCCTGGAACTCGGTGCAGGTCTCCTCTGTGGGTGCCAGGGACCCCTGTACCTGAACCACTGCTGCCTTCCAGACCAAGCATGAGCACAATGCCACTACTCCTCGAAGCAGGCATTCCCGTGCGGGATGCTGGAGTCCCAGGTTGGCCTGCACTCCCGTGCCCACTCCATGCCCAGGGCGAGGGGCAGGAGGGCTGCACCTACGAGCGAGATCGGTGTCTGGAACGCCGGTTGCTGGGGTCCACTTGGCTTTTCTCCTTCTGTCTCCTTAGCACGGCTTCCCACTGAGGCGCCGAGTCGACCATGTCATTCTCCTGCCGTGCTCTGGAAATGGAAAGCAGCACACGAGTGTTAAACGCGCACACCGTGCCTTGCTTGCGGCTCACCGTCAGTGCTTTGAAGGCCTGTTTCAGAAGCAGAGATTTTATTACAATCACTGAGAGCTGAGCCAGTGCATACGCTTGTGCACAGGGTCTTCAAAGAGTTCGTGAAAGATCTGCGCGTGAACTTCCAGGCTGGTCTGCATGCAAACAAGCACGTCTCAACCTCCCCTTCGCGCAGGCGACCCACGCTCGTTTGCTTTATATTATTATTATTTTTTCTGCAAAGAGCCCTCGTGTGCATCCATATACACACAAACATAAATTTACTGGACTATTGGCATCCTGTGAATACATATTGATTTTCAGGCTTCTGTTTTTGAATTAAGATTTTTGTCTTAAAATTTTCTCAGAATAAGATGTGTAAAATATAAAGTCATTTAAAACAAAATATAAAGTCAAGTTTTGACTAGAGAAACTATGGTGTCAAAAAAAAAAAAAAAAGAAAAAGAAAGATACTATGGTGTCTGCCACACTGCTAATCTTAAACTGTGAAGCAAAATCCCTTTTTAAAATGTGAGACTGAAAACCAACACTGACCGGTAATGACCAGCTTCATGTTCATGAGCACCACGGGCAACAGGTACCAGGTACGCATCTCATTTTTTATGCTAGAAAACTGGAGTTGGTCGTGGAGGACAGCACACTGACAGCTCTGTGAGCCCGGGCTGTTCCCAGCTGGCTGCTGTGCAGTCAAGGGGAATGAGGTGGGCATGCTGCCCGTGGCCCGGGAGCCCCTGGCGGTGGGGGACGGGCAAGCCCGGGGAGCAGAGGCAGCTGCTGCATGAGGCCACAGGAGGGAGCCAGACCCTCCCTAGCCCAGATCCGGACAGTGGATCACAACCAAATCCAATGTCTCAGTCACTGTGTGGACCAAATTCCACCCAAGGCTATGGTCGGCCTGCAGAGGCCCCAGACTTGTGCTGCGTGGAGGAGGAGGCAGAGGAGGGCCCTGCAGAGGCCGAGGCACGTCAGTCAGCCATGGAGGACGCGGCTCTGCAGGAAGTTGCCAGCCATGTCCCTCTCCCACCATGGCCAGGCACCCTCCCAGGGCTGCATCGCCAGGAACAGGAGGGAGAGACTGGATGAGCCTGGATCGTGGCTCCCTCTGAGCAGCTCTGAGCAGGCTGTGGCACTCTGTAGCAACGTGCAGGCAGCTGACACCCCCACATCACAGCCGTCGAGACACAGGGGACGTGAACAGAGCAGGACAGCACTGTCCTGGGGGAATCCATCTGAACAACCCTCAGGGAGCACCTGAGTGGCACGCACTTTAAAAAATTCTTGTCCTTTTATTCTTCTAATGGAAAAGTGAAGCCGTGCCAGTTAGCATCCTGTGGCCACAGGCAGCAGACACAGGCACGTCCCCTGGGGATGCAGCTTCATAAATATTCCAGCCAGGTGCATTAAAAATGTAAGGCCACGCCGCAGGGCCACATGGCGCCTCCTGAGGGGCTGGGGGCAGCCTGAGTCGTGAGCAGAGTGAGGTTACAAGCTGACAAAGAGGCTCTGGTTAACAGGCCTCATTACAAGCAGGGACGTGTCAGGTCCTCAATGGTCAGAGCGCCTGCAGGAAGGGCCCCACGCTGGCGGCCTGCACACCGGGCGCTCCCTCAGGCCTGCCCAGAAGGGAAGGGCGCTGTGAACACTGGGGGGGCGGGAGTCTACTCTCCTCAAATCCCGCATTTAACAGTGAACCTCAGAAACCTGCCCAGTGCTGTGCCCTCCTTCAGGTAAGCCTTACTCACCATAGACTACTGCCCCAGCAGCCCGTGAGGTGGGAAGGGCAACCTGAAAGGCTTCTGCCCATTCATCAATGTGAAAGGGAGAGGCTGGCACTGTGGCACAACACAGCAAGCTGCCTCTGGTAGCACTGTGTGCACACAGTTCACGTCCTGGTTGTTTTGCTTCCAAAACAAATGGCCTGGGACAGCAGCAGGAAACGGCCCCAGTGCGTGGACCCTTGCCACACATGAGGGAGAACCAGTAAGCCCTGCAGTGCACCCTGCTCTGCAGTGCAGTGAGTGGCCAGGGTCACCCACCGACACAGCGCCATCTGCAGGTGCACTTCAGTGAACTTGTTTTTCATCAATGGCATCACTTCAGATCACCCGCTGTAAAGCAATGCTCGCTTCTTCCCTTAGCCTTTCCTCCCCTGGAGAAGTGTACGTGGTTGTGGGAATCTGCCCACATTCAAGGCCAGCAAGCAAAACCTCCTTTGCTTTTCCCACCTCTCCCCATCCCCAAACCATTCTCGTTTGTTCTCAGAAGTGCTGCTGTCTTTCGCACTTACTGCCCATGCTCCCAACACTAGGCAGGACACTGGGTGTGTAGCCACACTTCCCAGAGCTCCCTGGGCTGTCCACGCAGCTCAAACAGCCAGTTCTTGTATGTCCAGTAAAGCAGGACATCGGACATGCGTGCACCTGCAGCCCAAGGAGCACCATTCTCCCACATGTACAACAGAGCCCCTTGTCTGCTGCTCTTGGCCCAGGGCAGCAGCGGGTGGAGCAGGGTACCAGCTGCTGGGCCGCCTGCAGTTGAAGCATACAAGGGCTGAAGGTGCTGAGCCCACAGAAGCAGCTGCCCCAAGGCACAGAGGATCTCACAAAGCCGCAGCTGCCTGATGCCCAGGCCCCCAGTGCTTACGGGGCAGAATTTCAGCTACAGAACCGTGTCTTCTTTGTCTTTAGAAAAAAGGAATATATTCAAAATATTTACAAGCTCAGCCACTGGTGGGCATCTAGCAGACTAATAACTCCTGGGAGACCTCTGAGAGGCAGGACACACTCCAACAACACGCAAACCACAATGGATTCACACTGGAAGCATCGGCTTGTGGACCAGGCAGCGGGGCCCACTTCACAACAGCACACAGGAGAGGATGTTCTGCAGGGCACCTCCAGTTCCCTGAGTGTGAGCAGTCCCACCTGGACCCTGTATCCCCGTGCGAGGCAGGGGAGGTCCCTCCACCCTGCACATCCAGGGTTTCAAGGACCCAGCCAGCAGCCACATAACTCCTTGAAGCAGGGCCATGTGCACAACGCAGGCTCTGAAATCTGCACACACACAACATTCACACTCACATGCAGGCACACACACTCACACATGGACACTCACACACACGGGCACACATGAGCACACATGAGCACACACCCACATGGGCATACACATACTCACACACACACTTACACAGGCACACACATACAGACACAGTTGGTGCTTGCGGTGCAGACACCCCTGGAACACAGCTGGCCGTGGCAGCCCTCCTCCAGCCCAGTCCTGGCGCTGGCCCTGAGCTCAGCCCCGCTCTCTCGTGCTCTTCATCTTTTCCAGGCTCCATCCGAGTCTCCTAAACCCGCGAGCGCCGCCCCATGTCACAGCTCTGTGCCCAGACACATGGCCAGCTCACAAATGGCCAGAGCCTCCAGCAGGGCTCTCCCCAGGGAAGCTCCAGGCTGTTGATGCTGACCACGGTACAGGCACGGTTGTGACTGCATTTCAGAAGGTTAAGTGTATTTTATTAAGCTCGGGTTTTTTCAGGGAAATACGGTTGGTGGAAGGCTTGGTCTAGTTCCCAGGCCTCCTTCAGCACACGCCTGGGCTGCTCCACACCCCCACACTGTGACACACCCGTGCCTCACTCCTCCACACCCCCACACTGTGACACACCTGTGTCAGGCTCCTCCACACCCCCACACTGTGACACACCCGTGCCTCGCTCACCACACCCCCACACTGTGACACACCCGTGCCTCACTCCTCCACACCCCCACACTGTGACACACCCGTGCCTCGCTCACCACACCCCCACACTGTGACACACCTGTGTCAGGCTCCTCCACACCCCCACACTGTGACACACCCGTGCCTCGCTCCTCCACACCCCCACACTGTGACACACCCGTGCCTCACTCACCACACCCCCACACTGTGACACACCCGTGCCTCGCTCCTCCACACCCCCACACTGTGACACACCCGTGCCTCGCTCCTCCACACCCCCACACTGTGACACACCCGTGCCTCACTCACCACACCCCCACACTGTGACACACCCGTGCCTCACTCACCACACCCCCACACTGTGACACACCCGTGCCTCACTCCACACCCCCACACTGTGACACACCTGTGTCAGGCTCCTCCACACCCCCACACTGTGACACACCCGTGCCTCGCTCCTCCACACCCCCACACTGTGACACACCCGTGCCTTGCTCACCACACCCCCAAACTGTGACACACCTGTGCCTCGCTCACCACACCCCCACACTGTGACACACCCGTGCCTCGCTCACCACACCCCCACACTGTGACACACCCGTGCCTCGCTCCTCCACACCCCCACACTGTGACACACCCGTGCCTCGCTCCTCCACACCCCCACACTGTGACATACCCGTGCCTCACTCCTCCACACCCCCACACTGTGACACACCCGTGCCTCGCTCACCACACCCCCACACTGTGACACACCCGTGCCTCACTCACCACACCCCCACACTGTGACACACCCGTGCCTCACTCCACACCCCCACACTGTGACACACCTGTGTCAGGCTCCTCCACACCCCCACACTGTGACACACCCGTGCCTCGCTCACCACACCCCCACACTGTGACACACCCGTGCCTCGCTCCTCCACACCCCCACACTGTGACACACCCGTGCCTCACTCCTCCACACCCCCACACTGTGACACACCCGTGCCTCACTCCACACCCCCACACTGTGACACACCCGTGCCTCGCTCACCACACCCCCACACTGTGACACACCCGTGCCTTGCTCACCACACCCCCACACTGTGACACACCCGTGCCTCGCTCACCACACCCCCACACTGTGACACACCCGTGCCTCGCTCACCACACCCCCACACTGTGACACACCCGTGCCTCGCTCCTCCACACCCCCACACTGTGACACACCTGTGCCTCACTCCTCCACACCCCCACACTGTGACACACCCGTGCCTCGCTCACCACACCCCCACACTGTGACACACCCGTGCCTCACTCCACACCCCCACACTGTGACACACCCGTGCCCTGCTCACCACACCCCCACACTGTGACACACCCGTGCCTCACTCCTCCACACCCCCACACTGTGACGCACCCGTGCCTCACTCCACACCCCCACACTGTGACACACCTGTGTCAGGCTCCTTCACAGACTCAGAGTGCAGGAAGGGCAGAGCCTAAGATACCCAGGACAGGAAAAGAAGGGAACCAGCAGGAAAGCAGCAGTCAGGGCTGAGAGAGGCACGGGCAGCCTAGGCAGAGACACCAAGTGAAGCAGGAATTCTACCAGCCCCCACCGAACTTCCACTCGGTCCTTCAGCAACAGCGAAGCATCATTCTCTCAAACCATAAGATGCAGATATCCTTAAACACAAGTAGGGAGTGGAGGGCTGTCCCAGGGATGACCCCGAGGGAGCCCAGGCACCGGCACCATGCAGGCAGGTCCTGGCACCAAGCAGGGACGCCCGGCAGCAGGCCCTGTCAGGAGCCCCGGGTCTTGCCAGAACAGGTGCCTAGTCTCAGTGGTTTTTCATCATATGATCTTCGTTCTCTCTTTATACCAAATGAGATGTTTAGGTTGTCATCCACAGGAACACACAGCAGGTTAAGCGCCAGCAAGCTGCCTTGTTTACACAAAACCTCAGTCCCACCCAGAACGGGCCCTCAGGCCCACCAGGGAAGACATGTTCCTTGTTAACAGGGAAACAGCCAACAGAAATCCACCAAGGACTGGCGAAGGTAACCGGACCCCAGGGAACACACACAACCTCCACAAGGCTAAGTCCACCCCATGCTGAGCCCCGCCACACATCCCAGGCTCAGAGCTGAAAAGCAGATCTGAGCCCTGGTTCTCCAGCTCCAGGCCTAGAGGGGCTGGGAGAGCAGCAGGTGTCGGGGGCAGGTGCCTGGGACCAAGGCCATGCATGCTAAGCCCTTGCTGGCAAGAGGTGTGAGCGCAGCAGATGCTGGCTTGGGGTCCTAAGCCTCTTCATAGCCACTGTGAGGACGGGCAGTGGACCTTCCCAGCAAGCAGCAGGTGCACGGGCCGCAGCATTCATGGCCCTGGGGATAAGTTTTCCAGAGGAGACAGACCTCAGGAGATGAGAGAGGACAGGGACCCCGGGTGGCCACACCTTCAGTGCACAGACCCGTGCAGCTGACGCACACCAGTGAATTCTTGAAATAAGCAGCTGGGGACTAGCAGGAGCACCCGGTGGGTGCCAGTGGTACCCAGCACTGAGCCGGGCATCTTAAACAGCACACCAGAGAAGGCTCTCTCTACACACAGCAAACTCTGCTTCCAGCTGAGCAGTCACTACACGTTGTACTCAAACACAGAACTGTCCTTAAAGAACGTTTAGAAACCAAGAAGGGATCTCCCTGCTGAGCTCACTGTCAAGAACAGCCTCACAGGAGTGCCAGCTCCTCAAACGCCGGCTGGCAGACCCGGAGCGCCGGCTTCCACGCGCTGTGGCAGGCCACACGAGCACAGGATGCGCGGCTTACCGGCTTCTCTTCTTCCGGTGCTCTCTGGTGGAACTTTCCGACTCGCTGCCGCTGCTGGTGTTACAGCGCGAGCGTGACCTGGAGACAACGTGAAAGCAGACACGTGAGAACGCAGGCTCGGGCCAAAGGAAGCCCTTCCAGGGGCTCGGTGAGGGCTTCTGCCGCGAAACGGCGCCCAGACCTAGAGCCACAGCGCCCTCTCCCGACCTCAGAGAAGGCCTACAGCTCGCGGGACCTGCGATGCAGGCCGTGAAAGCGCAAAAGGCAAATGCCACCAGGCCAGGGACAGTCCTCGCTACAGTGTCTTCCACCGAAACCCCGGCCAGACAAAGCTGTGAGCCCCAGGCGGGGTGACAGTGCACGGACACTGCTCGCACGCGTGTGTGTCTCAGGGCCGGGTGCACGCTCGCACGCGTGTGCCGTCTCAGGGCTGGGTCCACGGTTGCACACGTGTGACACCTCAGGGCTGGGCTCACAGTCACACACTGGGCTCAGTTCCCTCTCTCAGAGCCTGTGCCACCATGCCCTTCCTTATTGTCCAGGACTGCCCCCTGACCCCTCCTGGCCCAGGGCTGGGTATGCACACGTGGCCTCTGGCGGGCTCCACCTGTTTTCCTTTGTGCCTTCTCCTCAGGCCCTAGCTCCAGAATACAACTCCCAGAACCCACATTCAACCCGCTCAGCTCAGGCGAGTCCCCAACTGCCCCGTGGTGCTGGCAGCCATGTGCAGGCTGGTCAACAGTTCCCATGGTTGCAGGGGGCTCCAGGCTCAGCCAGGGCTACCGTGTCTCAGCCCAGACACACCCCCTTAAGAGCCTCAGTGAAAGGAGTGCCAGGCCTCTGCCTGCTGTCTCCCCGGCCACTGGAGAAAGCCTAAGGGATAGGCCCTCAATGGGTTGTCACACATGCTGCCGGGCACTGGTCAACCCTCCAGGTATAAAGATGAAGGCAGAGACTGCAGGCTCTCTGGTGCCAGGGCTACGTGGGATTTTCTAGAACAGGAACACGGCAACCGGATTTGAGGGGCGTCCTGAAGCTGCACATGTACACACATGTATATGGGCATTTGTCAGTAACGGACAACAGAGCCCTTGAGAGCCCCTAGAACCCGTAAGGCAAAGGGCTACCTCCCAGCCTCAGTCGGCACTTGACAGCTTCCGCCCACCCCTCGGCCACCGCTGGCAAAAGGAGGCCTTCTGATACCTAGGGCAGAGCATATTACACGGGCATCCAACCACTAAAGGCATTTCCTGTGACTAAACTTAAGCCCTGGATATTCTTCCATGTGAATGACAGAGCTCGGCTTCAAAGCGAGCTAACCCAGCCCTGCGGGGCTCTGGGCCCAGGGTCAGGAAAGCACACGTGACACTGTGGGGGTCCAACAGGCACGGGGACGGGCACGGCTGCACCTTCCGGGTCAGCATCTGGCTCCTGGCCACTCTGGGTGAACTTCATCAGCCTTCCTATGAACGACTCCACGGAAAGGTCTCTGTGCACACTGCACGGCCCCCTCTCTGCTTCCTGGGCAGCCAACAGCAGGTGCACCTGAGGGACCTCAGAACCCCAACCGCTGGCTCAGCCTGAGTGACCACTTCAACAGAGATGCCATCCTGACCGCTGGGTTGCACATGCTTCGTTTCTGGGAAATGTTGCAAGCCACAGAAACAGGAACTTCCTCCAGGTCCCCTTCTAGAGATAAGACTTGTTTGCTCCACAGCCCACCAAATTGCGTTATTTGAAACTTGCCAATAAAAACCTGCCAACTTGTGTCTTTTGAATGATTAACCAATCATGAATGCAGTTTTATAGGTTAACCAGTCATCAGCGAGTGTATCTTTGAAAGCTAACCAATCATTAGTGTAACTGTGCAATTCCCTAAACTGTGATAAAAAACCCCACACCATCCTGTCTCAGGGTCTCAGCCCGGAGCCGCTGCAATGGTGACAGTTGGGGCCTGAGCTCGAGCTTGAATAAACCGCCCTTGCATTAACTTCAGACTCCTGTCATTTTGGGGGGAGCTCAGAATCTGGGCATAACACACCTCGGGGCAGGGGCCAGCAAGCCTGGAGCCAGGCTGCACACATTCCACAGTACGGCACACAGTTCATTTATAAGAACTGTGCATTCTCCCATATTTTAGCAAAACTTGATAAATTCATTTGCAAATGCATTAAACTCAAAGCAGCCATCTGCGTAACAATGCTATACTTCCGCTTATAAGTCATGCTGCCAATCAAGCACAGATGATAAAACCAGACACACCTGTGAGCGCACAAGCCACAGAGGCAGGGCCGTGTGCACACAGGCGCAACGGAGGCACACGCACAGAAACACACGTGCACACCCGGGACTCGTAAACCCTGCCACAGCAGAGGGCAGGGCCTGCTGTACATGAAAGTTTTATGTGCGCCCTTTCCTGACCTTCAGACCTGGATAGAATCTCAAGTGCAGTCACTCCTGGAGCTGCTGTTCTCGCAATTGGTAAACCTGAGCTGCTTCTCACAGCCCCATCACCGTCCCCTGCAACCTCCCTTTACTGCCAAGACAGAAGCAGAAAACTGGGCTCACCTGATCTCCCCCTTGCCCTCTGGGTGGCAAACAAGAGGGCAGGCAGCAGGTCAGGTGCGCAGGGACAAGCAGGGAAGTGCTCTGCTCCTGGCACCGCTCTAAGGGAATCACTGTCACCTGCAGTGACAGCAGTAGCTGGAGCGGGGCGGCTTCTGAGTCCCGGGGAGCCCCCCGCCCGCTGCAGCCAGGGAGGTGACAGCGCGTAGTCCCTGGGCCACACTCCACCTCCTATGCCTCAGTTCCTATGCTCACCTCTCTCCACCCCAAGTGCTTGGGACTGGACCCACTCACCAGCACACAATGTTGCTTAAGGACCACAGGAGACAGGACCCAGCACACAGTACTGGGAACACGGGAACCCCACACTGACGCCAACCACTGCCCAGCCTTTCCACCAGCCCCTGTTGACCCTGAGCTGTGTGATGGCAAAGTTGGACGCAGCTGGAAGACGCTGGGGAATGAGGCCATGGGAAGCTGATGTCAACGGGACAGACCCACGGAAGGAGCTGCCTCCCATCCCTCAGCGCTCAGATGGTCGGGGGTTCCACTGACAGCATGACCTGAGCCTCTTGTTACCTTACAGCAGTGACGGCATTGGGAGATGTGCCTGCCCACAAGGGGCTCACGGAGGGGCCAGACCACTCACCTCCTTCTCATGGGCTGCGCAGCCTCATCGCTTCCACAGGAAGGGTTCCGGCGGCGCGTGCAGGGAAACTTGGGGGACCTGGTGCGGTCATTAGCAGAGTGGTAGAGCCCCCTGCAGAGAAAAGGAGGAGCGGTCAGCAGGGCCAGCAGACCTGAAGGAGCAGGTGCCCCAAGCCAGACCTCAGGACCGGCTCCTGGCTGCACCTGCACTGACTCGGAGAGAAGGACAGGATGGCAGTTGGCAGTCACAGCACAAAAGCCACATCTCTGCAGGAGCCGACTCGCCCTGTGGCCCTCAACAGCAGGAGGTGGACACTTGAGGACCCCAGGAACACGGATTCACATGACCGTTGGCCCGGGGCTCGCTAAGCATCGACCAAGTTCAAGCTTTCCACCTGTGATCAACGTGGTGGTTGGAACGGGACGTGGCTCCCAAGCTCAATCACACAGGATGAAGGCTCGATGAAGGCAGAGTGACCCTCCCTGGGCTCACTGCCCTCGTAGGGTGGGTCTCACCAGAGGGTAGGGTACAAAGCTGCCTGCCTCCTAGCTCACCGTGTAACTGCACACCCACACACACTGCCCCTTTGGCCTCAGCAGAAACCAAAGCTGTGGGGCTGTGAGCCTCACAAGCCACCAGCAGAATTTAAGATCCTCCTTCTAGGCAGCTCAGCTCAGGCATTCTGCTGACTCCCACACAGCGCATCTCCGCGTCAGCCCTGGGCCCTAAGCATGGGCCCAGGCCTGTGTGACAGGAAGTGGGCACACAGAATATTTATTTAGGTGGCCGAGGTGCAGCAGCCAGAAGGTGGCAAGGCTGGAATTGCACCCTGCTGTCACACAGGTCTGTGCCTGGTTTGGCAGCAGTGGCCAGAGAGAAGCTCAACAGATCTGTGTTTGCAGAAACCAAAGTCTCCTAGGATCACCAGCCATCAGCTCAGATTTCCAAAGGAAGTTTTTACAAGGATTACATGGAGGGAAAATGTTGTCACTGACAGGCCATTTTGAATGATCAGAAATAGAACTGGTACCTAGACAAGTTAATGGGAAAAATGGTATTAAAAGATAAGCTTAGTTCGGTGCAGGAATTCTGGTTACGTGAGAGGAGAGCCCTGTATTCTCTCGCTCTACAGCATCACCATGATCCGCCTGGGCACGGCTTCATTTCCACTTGTTCCCTGACCTTCCCTGGGCACACGGCCCTGTGGGCAGGGCTGAGGTGCAGCCAGCAAGGCTGCCACCTGCAATACCAGCATCCCATGCCAGAGCACCTACTCGCTGCCACCCGGCTCCCTGCTAATACACCTGCACGGCCTAGTGAGCAGGACCCTGCCAACCACGGGGAGTCCTGAAGGAGCTCGGAGCTCATGGCTTGGGCCTGGCAGTCCTGGTTGTTGTGGCCATTTGAGGAGTGAGCCAGCAGATGGCTCTTTCCCTGTCGCCCTCCCCTGCAAATCAACAAGGAGCTTTTGGAGAGCAGCAGTATACCATTGTTCTCCATCTCAGAGCCCCGGGTGCAGGTGTGGGAAGCTGGCTCCCGCACCCTGCAGGCTGCCAACCTCAGCCACGTCCCTGCTGCCCGGCTTCCTTACCCCTGGGGCCCGTCCTCCTCCCACGGTGCGTGGGGCCTGCTTCTCTGAACGTCAGGGCTGTTTTCATTCTTGGCTTTCTTAAAGCTGCAACGAAAGAAAATGCAGAAAGTTAACCAGAATGTGAAAGGAGGCGGACTGTAGGCCATTGTGCAAGCAAATGTGGGGAGGAGGTTGTTTATCCTGGAGACCACGCCACACTGGGCAGTCCCCAGAACACAGGCCGTGGCAGGGGCTTTGGCATTGGCACCCTGGCTGCCCAGCTGATAGATGTGAGCTGACAGTAGCCAGGGCCAGCCATGCAGAGTCCACCTGCAGGACAGGAAGCAAGAATCCCCCTGGAGCCAGGGACAGAGGAAGGCCGACTGGGCACACGAACCGAGGTGGGCACCAGCTTGATGACAGGGTCAGACGTGCCTGGCTCCAGGTTGGGGCCGGAATCGCGCTGTCCAGGCCCAGGCCACCCAAAGTGGCCTTTCCCGACTTCCGCCATGTCCTGACTTCAGGTTTGTAGATCAGGATGACCTCACGTGCTATTTCCTGGCCTGGGATCACCTTTCAGTGCTCAGAGCATAAATGTACCCGGGTTGTTATCCAACCTCAACAAACTGTGTAGAAATGTGGGGAGACAAGGGAGGGGACAGCTGGAGCTGCCAGTGCCCAGCGGGTGGGGGTAGGGAGGCGTCTTAGCTTCAGAAAAAGACACTGCCTGAAGTCCTGGTCTCCTTTACACCCTGCATTTTGAGGGAGTCTCTGAAGTTATCCGAGGATGTGGCTACAGCACAGATCTTCAGAACAGCCGACGAGCAGCCATTGTTGTGGTATAGCGCTTTATGGTGCCGCCTGCCACACTGGCATCCCACAGAGGCGCCAGTTCAAGTCTTGGCTGCTCCACTTCCGGTCCAGCTCCCTGCTGATACCCCTGGGAAAGCAGCGTAGAACGGCCACAGTACTGCTGTTTACTAAAAACTGCTTGTTGATCTCAAGGGGAGAGTGACAGTGAAAGAGAGAGGAAGACAGAGAGAAATCTTCCACCTACTGGAGCCCAGTATATAAGCCCATGAGTCACCTTCACGAGACCTGACTCAACTCCGAGGGCCAACCTCCCAAAGCTTGCTTTTTGGAACACGAAAAAGTATTAAGTACAGTAAGATATTCAACACGCCAGTACAAAGTGTGTTTAATAAATCAGAAAGGAAAAGCCAGGACAAGAGAAAGGGAGAGAAGAAACGAGATGACAGAGGGACTGGGAGAGGAGACGAAGGAGAAGATGGGGGGCGTGCGGGGAGAGAAATTCTCCACCCTCATCCCCTAAACCGCTGCTCTTTTGGGGTTCTGGGGAATGCACCCCCATCCCCGGGTACCAGTCTGTCAGCAGGAAGGCCAAGGATGCTGAGCAGCCTGCCCACCCCAGCAGGCTGCTGGCTCTGAACTGCCCAAAGCATCATCCTTCTGATTCCAGATGCCCCCTGGCTGCCGCCTGTGTGTGCACAGCTGTGACGCTGGCCAAGGACCTGTCCCTGCAGAATCAGGATTGGCGAGTCCCAGAACAGAAGACAAGACAAAGGACAGAGACCCCAGGGGACCACATCCCACCCAGCAGCCGTGCAGCTGGGCATTCCCAAAGTCCCTGGGGCAGCTGCCCAGCACCCACAGCCCTTTGCAGAAAGGACTTCACAGGTCATGCAGGCCACTGCCTGGGGCCTCAGGAGGACAGCTGAGCTTGGGAGAGCTGGCAGGGAGCATAAAGGGGGAGAGGCAGGGCAGGACTCAACACCAGGGGGTGCCACTCAGGCAGTGCCAGCTCGGAGGCCACAGGACACAGGCCAGGGCACAGGAAGGGCAGGACCACCTTGCTGCATCAGCCTGTCAGCCCCCGATACTCCACTCTCCAAGCCACAAGTGGACTGTCCCCAAGCCATGGAGGAAGACCCAGCCAGGTCATGAGCCCCTGTACAGTGTCCTCCCGTAGAGCGGCATGGCGCTGGGCTCTGTTCTGCACCCAGATGATGGCCAGCAGCCCCCAGGGCCAAAGCACCATCAGTGACCAAAGTTAATGGCACATGACGGTGCAAGGAGCGGCCATCTGGACGCCGGGGAAGGAGGGCCTCATCAGGGCCGCACTGACCTCTTCCCGGGTGAAGGTGTGATAACGTTAGCTGTCCTTTCATGTTCTCCGTGCTCCACGTCCACAGTCATCCGATTTGTGCTGATGGACCCTGGCAGCAGAGAAGGGGAAGAGAAGGAGACAGAATGAAGGGAACACAAAGAAACAAGAGTCACGCTACAGTGTAACACAGGAGCGTCAGGGCACATCTCACTGATACATTCACACAAATAGTGCACAGCCGGCCCCAACAGCGACCAAGAGACACCGCACAGCCGGCCCGACAGCGACCGTGAGACACCGCACAGGCAGCCCCAACAGTGACCGCAAGACACGAGACAGTGCCACGGCCTGACCTAGGAAATGGTGCTCAGGCCTCAGTGTCTACCGTGGAGAAGCTTCTCAGAGTGTCACAACTGCCGTGTATGGCACCAACCCTGACTAAAAACAGTGTAACTCAGAAGGTCCAACTCACAATGCAGCCAGTCCAAGGGATAAGATGGACTTGATCCATACCTCTCACACCAGCAAGGGCGTGCTGTTTTATGCCAACACTCCTGAGAATCAGATGTGGCTCAGCCCACAGACCTGGCACAGCAGATGGAGCCCAGCGCAGACACAGCCCTGGAAATCAGGGTCAAGCACAGCTGGGGACGGCCTGGACCACCCTGGGCCGGCTCGCTGCTCCTGTGCTAAGGAGCTCCTGAAGTTGGCCAACGGAAGCCAAGGAAGCCAGCTCTGGCAGAGTGGCTAATGCCACTGGCTCCGGCACTGGCATCTCCCGTGGCCACTGTGCAGAGGCCAGGATGCTTCGTTTCTGACCCAGCTCCCTACCAATGCTTCTGGGAAGGCAGCAAAAGATGGCTCCAGTGCCGGGGCCGAGCCCCACGCAGAGACTGGCCCAGCTCTGGCCAATGCAGTCTCCAGGGATGTGGACCAGCAGACGGAAGATCTCTCAAGTTCCCACGTATCCTTTTTCATGTCGGGTCCTTCCGAGCCTGTGACCCATAAGCCAGAGAGAACAGGCAAGACTGTGCGGAGAACAGGGACATTTAAAGCCCCCAACTCCTTAGTTTTATGATGGGATGCAAGCTCCAGATACTGAGCAATGTGCTAAGGCCTCAACTGCTCCGAGCACCGAGACCCAGCATGGGGTCGTTGTAGCCTGGGACACCTGCACCCACACCAAAGAGCCCAGGTCAAACCCTGGCTCTGCCCCGATCCAGCTTCCTCTAACGCAATCCAGGAGGGAGCAGGCCAGGGCCCCGACACCTGGGCCTCTGCTATCCATGTGGGTGACCCCAGTGGAGTCTAGGCGACCCCGATGGAGTCTGAGGCTGCTGTCCAGGAGGGAGCAGGCCAGGGCTCCGGCACCCTGACCTCTGCTACCCATGTGGGTGACCCCGATGGAGTCTGAGGCTGCTGTCTGGCCCAGTCCCAGCTGCAACAGGCATGCAGGGAGTAATATGGAAGACCTCTCTCTTGGCCTTTCCCTCTTCACCAAGTAAGTAAATAAATAACTTTTTAAAAAGTCAGATTACAACACAGTAAAGTATTAAAGGAAAGCAAACTCCTCTCCTGCTCCTGAGCCCTGTTCTCTGGTAACCTCCTCCTGGCCCCATGTGGGGTGTCGCACCCTCCCTCCCGCCATGTGGCAGTCCCTGCACAATGGGAACAGATCTGACTCACAGACCCCGGGCTGTGTATCCCACTGTGGCCTGAGGCCAGTCCCTGTTGCACTTGTACACACAGCACATTCTGCCGGACTGGCGGAGGCCTCCTCCTCCACTTCCTCCTTCTGGAATGTACTTCCTCCTCCAGGTGCCAAGGCCCACCCTTGGCAGATGCTAACAGGAAGGCTGTCTGGCCAGGGAGCATGGGCTGATCCTGAGAGGTGAGTTAAGGGCGTGCTGAACCTGCTGGGAGCCGAGGCCAGCCCAGGGCACAGCCGGCCTAGCTGGGTGACTGGCAGGCTCAGTCAGGAGTCCTGGGTCACTCAGGCATCTCACCAACAAGGAGGGACCAGGACTAGCCTCTCTGTTCAGTTACAGAAATGCTGCGTGAGAAATGTGAGCCTGTAGCACCTGACCTGAAAACATCCCTTCCCACTCTGTGAGGCCTAAGGCAGCAGGACCCAGGGATGGGCACCAACAGGCACCTGGCAGGGAAGAGGAAGCCGACCTTCGGCTAAACCGCAGGTCTGCCTCCGTCAGGAGTCCAACCTAATAAAACACACCTTCCATAACTTCACTTGGTAAAATTTTAAACAGAAATTTAATCAGTGGATGATTTATTAAGAGAATTTTGTTCACATCTGGCTAATTGTAAGTAATATTTTTAAAAAAATGGAGCCAGCTTCGTGGCATAGTAGGCAAAGCCACTGCATGTCATGGGCACTGGTTAGAGCCTCAGCTGCTCCACTTCCAACCCAGCTTCCTCCTAATGCACCTGGGAAGGTGGCACAAGTGCCTGGGCCTCTGCACCCACGCGGGAGACCTGGGAGGAGGCCCTGAACCCACGCGGGAGACCTGGGAGGACCTGGGAGGAGGCCCTGCACCCACGCGGGAGACCTGGGAGGAGGCCCTGCACCCACGCGGGAGACCTGGGAGGAGGCTCTGGCTTTGGCCCGGCCCAGTCCAGGGCACTGTAGCCATGTGGGAGGTGACCTGCAGATGGCAGATCTCTCTCATCTGCATCTTTTCCTTTGTCTCTGCAACTTTGCCTTTCAAATAAAGAAGTGAATAAATTTGCAAAAAATATAAAAAGCCAAGCTACTACTCCTTTCCCAGCTGTGCCCCACAAATGAGTCTTGCAGGGAGGAGCAGGGGCTTCTCGGTGGGGCTACTCACGAGGCCTTCAGGGAAGAGGATGGGAAGTGAGGTGGCACAGCCCCTTGGCAGGTGGACCCTGGCAGGTGGCACAGCGCCTCAGCAGGCAGGCCCCAGCCAGTGGGAGGTAAGGGGGCACAGTGCCTCGGCAGGTGGACCCTGGTTGGTGGGAGGTGGCACAGCACCTCAGCAGGTGGACCTCAGCTGTGATGCCCATGTTTTGGCAAAGCCTTCTACACCCTGCTGGGTAGCGCCTGGCAGGCAGGGACAAGAGCTTACAGTGGCGGGGGCACAAGGAGGACCCGCACCTCAGCAGCAGGCACGGCTCAGGTTGGCTGTCCACCCGCGGGGCTCAACCAAAGCTGACCCTAGAGGTCACCGGCATGAGAGCGACAAGAAGACACAACACTGAACAAGCAGAATGCAAGTACTCCCTGCCTCACGACACCTTCCACGCGCGTGGGGCAACAGGTGCCAGGCCGGTCAATTTCAAGGGTAGGCCCCGCAGAGGCCTGCCAAGTCGGTGAAATCAATGAGAAATGCTCTCTCAGCAAAGTCCTGGTTCCTAAGACAGACTCGGATAACCTTCCTTTTAGCACAAAAATGATAGCTGTGCGCCATGGTTTAAATCCATGTATACATAATAGACAGTTACAAGTGGGGCGAAGACCACAAGGAGAGCCAATTTAGTTACACTGATGGTTTTCAAATTTCTAACAGCTTTAACATGCAAGCATGAAGCACTGTGTAAATTACAGCTATATGTCTACAAGGCAGAAAAATCACAGAGCAATTATAATGGAGCTGTGTAAAAACACCGACAAAGGATCTAGTAAGAGGCATGGAGTGTAAATAAACACACAGGCACCACGTTTGTGGGAAACGCACAGCAGGCCGCCTCTCTGAGCATGCGCCGGCCGTGAGCTGGCTGGCCGCCTCTCTGAGCATGCGCCGGCCGTGAGCTGGCTGGCCGCCTCTCTGAGCATGCGCCGGCCGTGAGCTGGCTGGCCGCCTCTCTGAGCATGCGCCGGCCGTGAGCTGGCTGGCCGCCTCTCTGAGCATGCGCCGGCCGTGAGCTGGCTGGCCGCCTCTCCGAGCATGCGCCGCCGTGAGCTGGCCGCTGGTGGAGGCACTCAGCGCTCTACCTTGCGGAGGAGCAGGAAGGGTCCTCGTGAGGAAAACCCAGCACAGGCCACGCTTTCAGCTCTGCCTGATGCCACCAGGAGTGTGTGTGACCACATCCTGCAGAACAGGCCCTTTCCTGTCCCCTCAGGAAGGACGGAGTGGGGCCGAGAGACCGGCTGGCCCATGTGGGGGCAGGATGGACACTGGCTCCCCAGGACTCCAGGCCAGCAGGAGCGTTCATCCCTCGGTGAAGGGGTCCTGCCCCGGACTCCCGAGGACACCAAGCAGGAGCGAGTCAGACACCGGCTTCTGCAAGCGTCACTTTTGTCTTTAACACTTATCTACTTATTTTCAAATTGGGGCAACACAAGTAAAGAGGGAAGGAAAGACAGAGATGTGCCATCTGCTGGTTCCCTCCTCAAATGGCTGCAACAGCTGGGGCTGGGTGGACCAGGCTGACGCCAGGAGCCAGGAGCCCCATCCAGGTCGCCCACATGAGCGTACTAAGCACCTAGACCCCACTGCCACTCTTTCCCAGGAGCAGCCGGGACACCAGTCAGCACTCCCACTCGGGAAGCCGCAGTCACAGAGGTGGCACCAGCCCTGCCAGGGTTGATCTGAGAGCCCCAGAACAGCTTCCTGGGGCAAGTGTCTCCTGCAGGTCTGCTTCCAGCTACAGCCACGCTGCAGGGATGGACACCGGAGCACGGCTGCCCAGAACAGGTAGCAGAGACAACGGGTGCGCAGTCAGCGAATCCCCTGCAGATGAGCTATGCATGGGAGCACGCATGGTCCGGCGGCCTGGGGCCCAAAGGGACAGGAACAGGTGGAGGGGAGAGCAAAGGCCTACTCTCCCTCACCCCCGACTGTCCTCCACATTTCTCTTCCTCCCTGATGGACAAGTTACTGTTCACTGCCTCTCTGGATGACAGCATGCTGTGGGGTCCTGGAGCATGGACTTGGGGACACACGCCAGTGGCCTCCGGTGTTCAGGCCACCTTCAAGTTCAGAGCCACTGCCCTCCATGGTTCTGAGGCTCCCAGATGGGAAATGAGTCCCAGGGCTGCCCTGGGATGGGGTGAGACGATGAAGTCGGCCACATCTTCCATCTTGCTCCTGAGAGGCGGTGTGCAGCCCGCCAGGAGCCACACGGACCAGCTGGAGGTCCAGCCCCACAAGGAGCCACATGAGGGGGACACGGCCACCCTGCAGGCCGCAGCACACACAGACGACCAGGTCCCGGGGTGCCTGAGCCAGGGGGCAGGGGTGCTTATGCCACTTGGCATATGTGTGCGTGTGCATGCGTATCCGTGTATATTCCGTGCATATGTCTCATAATACAAGAACAACAAAAACAGAATAAAATTGAGTGCTGGGCCAATTATGTCAGCAGTCCTTGTTTTTAAAGACCTTTGCTATAAGCATATATTTTCAAATTTCAGTTTCAGATACACAAAACTAGGAAAGCACTCAGCTATGATTTTATTTAGAATCCAGTGTGCAGTCACCAAGCAGCAATAGTGATCTGAGCTGCCTGTCTGTCTGTTCCCCAGCACATGCTGGTTCTTGAGACTTTGCCAGGGCCAAGCAAGGAATCGTGGTGTCAACAGCATGGATCCCCAAGGCTACAGGCCCACCTGCTCCAGCATCTGGGACGCACCACGCACTGACTCACCTGTGGGCTGCGTGGGCACCACTCTCTTAGGGTACGTCTTGCTGCGACTCCTTGCTACGTTCTGATCCGGCCGTGGGAGCTGGATGGACAGGTCTCGGCTCATCTGCGAGGCTGTCCTGCCACCAGAAAACACAGCGTCTTGACTGGCAAAACCATGGAATTATACAATGGCTCCGGCAGAGTGTCAGCCTGGGGCTGCACGGACTCAACCAGCAGGGGCCAAGCAGGAGCCTCAACTGACACTGGGCTGACCAAGCTTGCAGCAGTCAGGGCCAGGACTTAAGGTGTGAGGCCACAGCCGCTGGTGGTCAGCAAACCCATGGGGCTTCAGTGCAAGCCTTGCGGGAGAGCTCCGCTCACCAACAGGCCTCACTGTGCTCATGGGTGTTACATCTCCGCTCATTCCTGCCATTTCCCGGCAGAAATGTCCCCATAAGATACTCGCTGAGCTGTGAATGCGGTTCACCCACAGCTCTGGAACCCACCCTGCCCCGCCAAATTCGCACAGGAGTCTAGCCTCTGAAGTCACAGAAACTGTGGGGGTCTTGGGAAAATGAGACCAGGTGGGGCCAACCGAGCGGAGCCCCCAGGACTGAACGCCAGCAGCTTTGTAAGGAGATGGAGCCGACACAGCCACCAGGAGCCTGCAGGAGAGCAGGACGAAGCGCCATCCTTTAGCAGCAGCTGCCTCACATGTCCAGGAGCGCAGGTGAGCGACCCGGCCTTCTCACCACTGGCACAAAGTGACTGACACGTCCAGCTGTGCCTGCTGGCTCTGTGTGCTTGCGTGCCTGCTGGCTCTGTCGTGGCAACACCAAGCTCAGTTACCACAGCTGCCAGCCATCCACCTGCCACCCACACTGTGGCCCACATGCCCTGGCCCTGCCAGCAGAGAGGGGAAAGACGAGGACAGCTCCACTGGTGTTCCGGGTTCCCAGCTCTGCATCTTCACTCCTCAGGTGGGTGTGGCCCCTTGCCTGTCGGGGCATGGTCCTGGCACCTCCTGTAGCAGGTGCTGGGGTGCACGGGGGGCTCTCAAGGAGTGTGGTATCGCCCACCTACGCTCCTGGACATGGCCCCCCATGGGGCTCCCAGGCCCTGCTCTCACATCTCTCACTCCCTCCTGACAACCAGGAGGCCCCCACAAGCTCATCAGGAGAGGGGCTCAGAGAAGGAGGCACCCCACACTTCATCTGTGTTCTGGCTGGCTGGGCTCTGACAGTCACACCACAAGAATGAAGGCAGACTTCAGCCCAGCCTCTCCTCACAGATCCAGTTTTGAACTTGGCTCATCAAGTCTGAATTTTCCTTTGGTAATGACCAGTCACCCCCAAAGTAGAAGAATCTCTAATGCTCTGCAGGCTCTAAGTGCAGGAACGAGCAAAGCCCAGAGTTCCGCCTCCCTCCACCACACACATGCACACACTGATACTGTCACACACGGAGCCACACCGACACTGCAGCTGCATGGGCTGCCATACTCCAGGAGCCAGGGCTGTCTGCTCCCAGAACCCTGCTTATGCAAAGCTATCTCCAGGGCGTCTCAGAAATGCTCACGGCCATGGCTGGTGTGATGGTCTAGTCGGCTAAGGCATCCCAGCAAAGCCAGCATCCCACAAGGGGCACAGATGTGCGTCCTGGAAACAGTCCCTGTACAAACACCACCCAGTGGTCAGAGACGCAGCCGATCCATGCCAAGCTGTGGACAGGACGGTGAGACCCCTTGCTTCCGGGGGCTCCTGACACCACAGACTGCACACTACATGTCCTCCACAGAATTTTCCAGAACTCACGCCCATGTCCAGTGAGGGTGTTAGACATAGGCACACATGTACCTGATCTACTGCAGAAGCCTCAGGACAAGGTAAGGGTCCTCCTGCTGCTCCAACCCATTCCTGGAGCAGCAGGGCTGCCTGGTGTCCCTGAAGGGGCATGGCCTATCTGAACCCCGGGTGGGAGGAGCGCCCCTGGGGGTGTGGCCTCCTGTGCCCTGGTGGGAGGAGCTCCCTGAGGGGCGTGGCCTCCTGAGCCCCTGGTGGGAGGAGCTTTCCAGGGGCATGGCCTCCTGAGCCCTGGTGGGAGGAGCTTCCCAGGGGTGTGGCCTCCTGAGCCCAGGTGGGAGGAGCTCCCTGAGGGGCGTGGCCCCCCGAGCCCTGGTGGGAGGAGCTCCCTGAGGGGCGTGGCCTTCCTGAACCCCACTGCAAGGACAGTACCAGATATGATGACCAACCGAAGTGACACACTAAAAGCTCAGCCATCACATGGTGCTCAGGGGATGCCCAAAGGCCGAGATGGAACTGGGAACATGATTCCACACTGCAGAAAAACAGGGCTGTGTGCAAAATGAAGTGCACGCTATATCCCAGTGGGGGCTGCCCAAACGTCCAGGACCTCAGCCAGCCCTTCCTCAGGACACCTGCTCCTCCTCCTCATCTCAGGGCAGAGGACAGACAAGTGGCACACCCAGACAGAGTCCAACAAGCAGCTCTACCACGCTCTCAAAGCCTGACCGTGACACAGCTCAGACATGATCTACAGCTAAATGTGGAAAACCTTTTTCCATGAAAGATAGCCCCATAAAATTTTGTGTTCAGAAAACACATCACTATGTGGAAGCACTCTGTGTGTGCACATGGGCAGCTGCTCACATGCCCAGCCATACCCCTCACCCTGGCACCACTTACCTGAACCGGTGCTTCTGACTGATGGATCCAAGCTTGCTGAGTTTTCTTGACAATGAACTTGACTCGGTTTCTGGCACTCTAATAATTTTTACGAGAAAATTAAAGACTCATAAACATGGTTTTCTCGTGCTTCGTTGGGATTTACAGTTACACAGCAAACGTAATAGTGCCCCACCTGCTGTTTAGCGGAGCTAATGAAAATAGTTAACACCACTTATGGGCAACAGTCATCAGCCGCTGGGAGCCAACACTGAAAACACAACCGCTTCCTGGATGACATGTACCATCACATGAAAACCATCGAAATACACCATCGCCCCAGGAAGACCGCTAGGGCTGCTGTCGCCATGGCAACGCTGTCACTGGCTCACACCAGGGTGGGTCCCCAAGGTCCCGGCCTCATCAGGCACAGCGGCTCCCTCTTGCTGTGAAGGAGCCTTACCAAAGACTCCACAGAAAGAGCTCCTTGACCCAGTCCCACTGAGCCGAGCCAGTGGCCACAGCATGGGGCTGTCCCGGCCTGACAGGGCAGGCCTGAGGGACACTGGTCCTTCCATGATGCTGCTGCCCACACAACGAATGGGAGCACGAGGGGGAGCCCAGCGCTGCGTCAGACACAGAGCACACAACTTGGTGCACTGTGTGCAGCCTGCACAGCCTGAGCACTGATGCGGGCGGGTCAAGTCGCCCACGAGCAGGGCCAGCCCTCCTCACCAGCACAGCCTCCTCCCCGGCTTCCCGGCCCGACACCCGCTGGCAGGGCTGCCCTCAGCTCCCGGGCTGCCCCGTCCTGTCCTCCTAGGGCAGGAGGGCTGCAAGTCCTTGGCTTTGTGCTGCTCACCCTTCCTTTATCAGCTCCCTCCACTTTTCCTCAGGTGACCCTTCACTGCCCTCTGCCTCAAACCCCACACCGTGGACAGTCACATCATGGCCTGGCCAGCTCCCACACCCTCGGCCTCACAGCCAAGGGCTCTTGGGGTGCTCCATGTCTGCACAGAGCAGTTCAGATTCCCCAGGCCTCGAGATGCAAAGCAACACTCTACCCATACCTAAAAACTGGGAGCAAAGACACAGCACCCGAACGTACAATGGTACGGACAATGCCTCCTTATGTGCAACACACATATACATGCATTTGTGTGAGTAGCATTTGTAGTAACACAGCCAGAGAACTGGGAATTGAAAAAAAATTAACTTCCATATTTCTTCTTATAGACAGAATTCTACCCCTAAAAGACAAATGCCATTTTCATGTATTAGGACAATGAACAAAACTCAGACTGACCCACCTGAAAAATGTATGATGCTCTACGCTGCACTTCCACAGGTGCCTGCAAGCAGTCTTACTCTGTGCTTCGAAGAAGAAGGAGGTTTCATTGCACTGAGAAGGAAGCAGAGGCAGAGAGGACGTGAGGGCAGCGGGAAGCAAGGACAGGTCACCACCGACACTTACGACCAAGGAAACTGATTCTTCCCTGGTGGGCGTTCTCAGACCGAGGGCTTCGGCCAAATCAGCGTCTTTCCACACGAACACTGAGACAATCCCACTGCAGCCTCACAGGCTCACCGCTACGGCCACGCGGCCAGCGCCATGACTGCACAGCCCCAGGGTGGCAGTCTCCCAGTCACCCCCATCACCAAATCCCACTGCAGCCTCACACGCTCACCCCTACAGCCACGCGGCCAGCTCCATGACTGCACACCCCCAGGGTGGCACTGAGCACCTCCAGGTCACTGTCACAAACAGCCACAGCCTGAGGATCAGCCCTCGTGGGCAGGAGATGCCCACCCAGCCCAGCCTTCACTGTGTCCCCCACAGGGATGGCCTCGGGGCCTCGGGGCCTCGGGAGAGGCCGCCAGGAGGAACAGCCAGCACAGGGCGTCCTGTGCAGCAGGCCTGAGCCCTCTGAGCCCAGTCCCCACATCACACTGCATCCCTGAAGGCTGTTATGCCATCAGGGAAGCCATCTCCATAACTGCAACCCAATCTCAACCCTGTGGTTACATGGTTCCCTGAGCTGTGCCACATAAGCCAAAGCTTTATGCAATAAAGTTCCATTCTGCAAAAGACATTACTTTTTAAGCGACTGAAGCAAATATCAAGCAAAATATGAGTGCTGAAATAAACTGTGAGCTCTCTCATGCAACACAACTGCCCATTCAAATCCAAACGTAAAAGCCAAAGCCAACTCTTACTCCCAGGGTGGGAGCAGGACAGGCACACGCTGCCCCTGACACATCGCACTGCAAAAAGAGCAGAATGCACCAAGAAGACACGGCACAAAGGACAGCAGAGCTGGACAGAAGGGGCCACACTGACTGGGTCTAGCACAACTTCAGTATCCGTCTGGGGACAGTCATGGAGCACAAGCCAGGGAGACAGTGAGTCCACAACAAAGGAATGACAATGGGAGAAGGCAGAGCTCTCCCACACAGCACAGTGATCAAAGCCAATGGGCAAATGGGGAACCAGCATCCTGCCACCACCTTAAGCAAGGAGCAGGACAGAGTCCCCCCCGAGGCATATTGACAGGGAGGTTCCGAAGAAGAATGAGGGCTGATTGCTGACAATGTGACAGAGAAAAAGAACCAGGCCAGGCTCATACAGAGAAGTCAGGCAGTATCGTCAGGGGGTCAGCAAACCAACAGGCCAGGAGGTACAGATGGCCCACATGAACCTCTCAGTGAGACAGCCTGAGGCAGCAGGCTGCCCTGCACCTGCACACAGACCCTCCCCAGGCAGCCCTGCACCTGCACACAGACCCTCCCCAGGCAGCCCTGCACCTGCACACAGACCCTCCCCAGGCAGCCCTGCACCTGCACACAGACCCTCCCCAGGCAGCCCTGCACCTGCACACAGACCCTCCCTGTCCAATCACAAGGACCCCACACCCCACAGGGAAGCAAGAAAGAAGAGGTTTCTGCATGGTGAAGTGGAACTGCACTCTTAAGACATGCAAATGTCATGAGAGGTAAGAACTGCCACACAGATAGCAGATGACCAAAACATTGCAGTGTATCAACACAGAGGTGAGCCTGGACATGGTAGAAAGCCCTGGGACAGCTCTGAAACCCTGCAAATCTGACACACGCAACTCTCCAACGATTCAGAAAAACAGTGTGTGTGAGAGAGAATAAAAACATCAAGGAAATGGTTTAAAATGTGAACAATAAGGGAATCTGGAGAACAGCACGTTAATGTTTTCTTTGTAGCTTTTAAATACTACAACGTTTTGGAAACCTGAATAATTTCTAAGTAAAAAGAGTGGCTGCTAATCCTCAGGGACATGTGTTCACAGAGGCAAGCCCTCCAGGGCTTGTGGAAAGACCTGCCACCGCCGGCCACCATCATGTCTGAGTCCTCTCTTCGGAGTGGCCAAGTGCTGCCACGTGGGCCCAGCTACCCGTGGCACCCAGAGCAGAGAACACGGGCTCGTCCGTTCATCCTTCCACTTACTCCACAACTGTGCTTCCTGCACACAAGTTCACGCTAGCCACCGCAGCCTCGCTTCCTCATCCAGCTCAAGGCATCTGAGTATGCTGCTGACTGCTCCCCACCCCCAGGAAACACGCCCGCAGAGCACTTCACCCCCCACACCTGATTATGCTCTCTAGCCTCACTTGGCCTCACATGGCCATCGCAGGCAACCAGAGTGAGCCAGCAGAAGGAATACGGATTCATTCTCTCTCTCTCCTCTCTCTCAGCTTCTGCTTCTCTTTCTGCCTTACGTACCATGGAGCCACAGCACCTGGCCTGAAATCCAACAAGCATCCACATTGCCTCTGGAGCCCCGCAGCGGGCACAATGTGGTGCGCCGTTCCGTGGAAGCAGCAGCATTCAGCTGGATGCTCTGCCAGGTACTGGGACTGGGGGCTTTTAAATTCCATCTGTGACTACGGTGAGGCCTCCAGGATAATTAACTTACTGCCACCGTCCCAGAGAGGCAGAAGAAAGACTCAGCAAACCCATGTGTCCAGGAAGCGGAACATTTCAGTTAAATTCTAAGCTATTTAATCATTTTGAAAAGGGCTCAGGCCCGAGCCTCTGCATTGGGTGATGGCCGAGCAGCCCAGGAGCCGGCGGCCGCAGGCCTCCCCTGCACCTGAGGACTCTTGCTTGTCCATTAGACTCAACCAGAGAAGAGCAGATGTGTGACCCCTAACAGCTTGTTCTGTTGACTTCAGCCCGAGACGGTCAGCACAGACCCCAGCACAGCCATACCTCCCGGCCGTACAGATCCTGTCTTCACAGACAGAACTGAAAAGCCAACAACCACGACACTCCCCTCCTCTGCCCGGAACAAGGACGCCCCACATCATCACTGCATCCTTCCTGCTCTCGTCACCAACCCTCCCTGGCAGTGGGTGCCCCGGCCAGCAGGTGTGCAGCTGCAACTCAAGGACGCTGGCAGCCCTGACCCAGGCCCTGTGAGTTACCAACATGAGCCTGCAGGAACTTACATCTTTCCCCAGCACTCGGAGTTCAAATTGAGTCTCCTTGAAGTGAACCTTGGTGATCCGAGGCCTGGAAAACAAAGCAGACGGTGTTGGGAGGATTTTGCAGAGATGCGCCTGGCAGGAAAAGGGTGCCCATGGCTGGCTCTTGTAGAAGCTGGGGTGCAGTGCCAATGGCTGCCAGACCCCTACACTCCACAAACCCCAATCCTACACTTAGCACTAAAAGCAGAGTAGGTCTGGATGCACCAGCACATGCTGGGATGGGTAGGAGATTCTGTCCTCCGCCCCCTCCCCACAGCTTCCACAGATGAGAGTCCAGACTCTCAATGCTAGGAAGGTACAGAGAAAATATACATCAATTTCATTTGTCAGCCACCGGAAATGTAACTGCCTTCTTTGTCCAACACACACACACACACAACCCCCATTCCCATAGCTATCCAGGACACAGGACACACACACACACACACACACACACACACACACACACACACACACCCCATAGCTATATCCAGGACATACATACACCCCTTTCCCCCTACATCCCCATAGCTATTCAGACACACACACACGCACATCCCCATAGCCATCCAGGACACATATACCCACATGCGCACACGCGTGCACACACACACCCACACCCCGACACATCCAGCACGCAAGTCCTACCTACCAAAAGTACTTCCCCACTTGCTTCTTGTTCTTGTAGACAACAACGCCAACAGGAGTCAATCCCAGGAAATACTCAGACTTGTTCTCTCCCTGCAGAAGCAAGAATCAGCCTGTCAACAGCAACGCACCCCGTCAGTACCCTGGGCACTGCCACTGGCCAGGAGCACACCCTGCACGCTGCCACTGGCCAGGAGCATGTACCCTGCATGCTGCCACTGGCCAGGAGCACGCACCCTGGGCACTGCCACTGGCCAGGAGCACGCACCCTGGGCACTGCCACTGGCCAGGAGCACGTACCCTGGGCACTGCCACTGGCCAGGAGCACGCACCCTGGGCACTGCCACTGGCCAGGAGCATGCACCCTGGGCACTGCCACTGGCCAGGAGCACGCACCCTGCGCATTGTCACTGGCCAGGAGCATGTACCCTGCACGCTGCCACTGGCCAGGAGCACGCACCCTGCACGCTGCCAATGGCCAGGAGCATGCACCCTGCGCACTGCCACTGGCCAGGAGCACGCACCCTGGGCACTGCCACTGGCCAGGAGCATGTACCCTGGGCACTGCCACTGGCCAGGAGCACGTACCCTGGGCACTGCCACTGGCCAGGAGCACGCACCCTGGGCACTGCCACTGGCCAGGAGCACACCCTGCACGCTGCCACTGGCCAGGAGCATGTACCCTGCATGCTGCCAATGGCCAGGAGCACGTACCCTGCGTGCTGCCAATGGCCAGGAGCATGTACCCTGGGCATTGCCACTGGCCAGGAGCATGTCTGCAGCTGTGGCCACACAGGACTGAGTTTTGGAGAGCCATCATCTGGAAAGCTTATCTGAGCTAGGAGAACAGCCACCTGCTGCTCAGTGGTTTTTAAGAGGATCTTTCTGTTGTCTTAAGGCTAACTTGTGATGTAAGCTCATTAGAGGGATCTGGGTGACTGTGCAGGTCCCAGCTCAAGGCTGTTTATATCTTTGGTGACCAGCCTCAATGCCATATTAACTTTCATCACTTGCGCAGCTGATCCCGCGGTGCCTGTGAAAACAGTGAACTCAGCAAAGACGCCAAAAGGTCAAAAGCACATCACACTTCAGGGTGTTCTCCTGGGCGGCCGAGGACCCCGCTCTGTCACCTTCACACACCACTCTAATGCTGACCATCCACCGCCCCCACCATCCCTGGAAAGCCCAGGCTCTGCCAAGCTCTTTCCTGCCTCCGCTTACACCTTTCAGACTGCCAGTTTTTACAATTTTAGGCAGGTGTTGCAGGATAACAAGTTAAATCTATACCAGCATCCCTTAGGGACAACAGTTTAAGTCCTGTTGCTCAACTTCCAGTCTAACTCCCTGCTGATGGCCCGAGTGCTTGCGCCCTGCACCCATGTGGGAGACCCAGCCCTCGTCACTGCAGCCATCTGAAAACTATATCACTGGGTGGAAGATCTCTCTCTCTCTCAATCTCTCCCTCTCACCTTACTCTAATACTGCCTTTCAAATATACAAAAAAAAAAAAAAATTAAAACTTCAGAGAGCCACAGTGTGCAAACATCACAGAGAATGAAGCCACGGTGTGCAAACGACGCGGAGTGGGTGCCAGGCATGTGCGTGGACAGTTTGCCTTCACGCTCTCCTTCCTCCACAATCAAATCAAGGTAAAACTCCATAAAGTCATATTCACAAAGAACGTAAGATGTGTTGGCAGAATGCCAGCTATCACATACTTTCAGCTCTGAAACTGTGACTTAAAGGAACGTGTCATCGCTTCTCAGCCTTTTGGCCAAGATCAAGTGTAAAGGAACGTGTGGCAGGTTCTAACAAAGCTAGATCACGGCCATAAATTCTCAGCACCAGCACAGTGGTTCTGAATGAGGATAAACATTACACAACCACAGAGGCATTTCTCAGAAGACTCTCTAGTTTGTAATTTTCCTATTTAACATATATGATTTTAAAGCTGAAAACCCACAGAGCACAGTACACTATTCAGGAGCGTTTAACAACTCCATGAGTCTGCCGGCAAGACAACGGTGTTTTTTAAAGCTTGTATAAAATGTAACAAAGGAAAAAACAATGCAAATACATTACTATAAAGGGGTCTTCAAAAAGTTAATGAAAAGTACTTATAATAAGAAACAAATATTCATGGATTTAAAAGAATGTGTACCAAAATTATCTCCTTTTTGAGAAACAGGGAGAGAAAAAGAGAGCTCCCATCCACTGGTTCAATCTCCAAATGCCCACAGCAGCCAGGAGCCGGGCCAGCCAAAGCCAGGAGCCGGGCCAGCCAGAGCCAGCAGCTGGGCCAGCCAACGCCAGGAGCCGGGCCAGCCAACGCCAGGAGCCAGGCCAGCCAACGCCAGCAGCTAGGCCAGCCAAAGCCAGGAGCCGGGCCAGCCAACGCCAGGAGCCAGGCCAGCCAACGCCAGGAGCCGGGCCAGCCAACGCCAGGAGCCGGGCCAGCCAACGCCAGGAGCCGGGCCAGCCAAAGCCAGGAGCCGGGCCAGCCAACGCCAGGAGCCAGGCCAGCCAACGCCAGGAGCCGGGCCAGCCAACGCCAGGAGCCAGGCCAGCCAAAGCCAGGAGCCGGGTCAGCCAAAGCCAGGAGCCGGGCCAGCCAACGCCAGGAGCCGGGCCAGCCAGAGCCAGGAGCCGGGCCAGCCAACGCCAGCAGCCGGGCCAGCCAGAGCCAGGAGCCGGGCCAGCCAACGCCAGGAGCCGGGCCAGCCAACGCCAGCAGCTGGGCCAGCCAACGCCAGGAGCCGGGCCAGCCAAAGCCAGGAGCCGGGCCAGCCAAAGCCAGGAGCCGGGCCAGCCAACGCCAGGAGCCGGGCCAGCCAGAGCCAGCAGCTGGGCTAGTCAAAGCCAGGAGCCAGGCCAGCCAACGCCAGCAGCCGGGCCAGCCAGAGCCAGCAGCTGGGCTAGTCAAAGCCAGGAGCCAGGCCAGCCAACGCCAGCAGCCGGGCCAGCCAAGGCCAGCAGCCGGGCCAGCCAACGCCAGCAGCTGAAACCCTAGCAGGTCTCCCGGAGGTGTGAGAGACCCTGGCTCTGTAGTGAGCGCTCAGCTCTGCCCCCCAGGGTGTACGTTGGCAGGAAGCTGGCATCAGGAGACACAGCAGATTGAACCCAAGATATCCTGGCACAGGTTGCAAGCTTCTCAACCTCTCCACTAATGTCCTCTCAAACTTCTCTTACAGTTCCATCTTCCCACAAACTGTGTGAGGTTTTCCCACATATCACTTAACTACCATCTCCCTCCAAGCTACCATTTTATTGCCACGTTCTCTATATACCGGAGGCTGCTTCTAACTCTCCAAAATTAATGAGATGGTTTCTTGCTTTAGGGAATGCTGTTAAGCAAAACACCTTACGAAATGAACATCTGAGTGAATCATATTTCAAAGAACTTTTTCCAGGATTAAAAATTAAATTCCATGATCCAGTTGATAAACATTTCATCATTCAGCTATTCCTCAGCTACTCACTCCCTATTTTTAAAAAACAAGGCACCTGGTCATTTCCTCAAACAATCAAATCTCGGTACCCTTGCAAAAAAACAAAGTCTCACAGGTGCAGACTGACTGTGAGTGCAGGAGGAGTGGCTCAAGGGGCAGGTGCAGATACAGAGCACTCGCACGGTGTAATGGCTCAGCCATTCGCAGTCCACGGCTCAGCCACTCGCACGGTGTAATGGCTCAGCCTCTCGCACAGTCACGGCTCAGCCACTAGCACAGTCACGGCTCAGCCAGCACAGTCCACGGCTCAGCCAGCACTCGCACAGTCCACGGCTCAGCCACTCACACAGTCACGGCTCAGCCACTCGCACAGTCCACGGCTCAGCCAGCACGCTCAGCCACTGAATGCAGGCTGGAGGCATGCTTCTTTGTACACAGCGATGACGCAGCAGGTCGCTGCCCTCCTGCTCAGGGCACCCGCACCCCCAGCAAGAACCACTCATTACTGCACCTGGACTGCTGCCAGATTCCTGCTGCACCTGGCAAATGACTTTATGCTTTTCATGAAATCATCTTGGAACGCCCTCCTGACCTCTGACAGGACCAAATGCAGACCAGTGTTCAGTTCTCTGGACAGACGGTTATGCCCTCCAGATTGTGTTGGCAAGCTCCGTTAATTGTTTTCCACACATGGAAATATCATTTCGGTCGTATGTGAAACTCATCCACTCAGAGGAAGGTCCAGCCTGCGAAGCAGCAGCACCCGGCCCTCCTTTGGGAGCCTCAGTGACTTAAGAAAAACACCACCGGCTTACAGGATGCTGTGCCAAGCACATGCCACTCACGTAGACAGGGTGAAGGTCCACGCCATACATCTCCAGCGACTTGGCGGTCCTCAGGTAGCTGAGCTCAGCTTCAGACGGTGCCTGCCCCCTACACGAAGCACAGGAACAGGGCCTTACCGAGGGCAGCCGCAGCCTGGGCAGTGCTCAGCACCTGGGGAGATTCTAAAAGCTCCCCATCATCTCCCCGCCCCGGCCTCCTTGCAGACACTGCCCTTGTTCCTCGGGTTCCCAGGGGCCTTTGCCCTCCTGACACAGGCATGTCTGTGCCCTGACGGTTGCCTACATGGGTTTCAGTCACTTACACTCAGATGTAAGTTAGCAGTTCTCCATTTTAGAAGCCTCACCGTGAGTCCCTAACAAGAAAATGTCTCCTCCACACAGCCCCATGCCTGCCTTCCAGAGCTTTCCTTGCACTGGCATAGGCAGGAGGAAGGAAGGCCCGGCCACCCTATGGGGGGTCCCATCATGTCCCGAGCATGCGTAGGGTCTGCAAATACAACCAGTGATCACTGGCAGATACCTCAGAAACCTTCCAGAATACAACTCCATCCCAGCAAGGGCAGTGCATGGCTGGGTGGACACAGCTCCATCCCAGCAAGGGGCAGTGCCCACCAGGAGTGCCTGTCAGGATGGGTGGACACAGCTCCATCTCAGCAAGGGGCAGTGCCCACCAGGAGTGTGCACACGCATGCGTACAGGAGAGAGATTTCAACAGCCAAGGATTCTGCTCAGTGCACCCCACGTCGGAGCCCAGGAACCCGTTGAGGCCTGTGCTTCCGGAATCCATGAAGAAGACTCCGCACAGATTAACTTGAGAAAGCTACTAGGGTCCACTTCCTGCCTAGAAAGGTCATCTCACTGCCAAGACCACCTGCATGGCTGAGGGTCCCTACCCAAGACCACTCAGGTCAGTTCAACACAGAGTGCTCCTCTGAGACCCCCACTAGCTGCAGGATGTCTAGAACACGCTGTGCACCTGGCTACCGTGTGATGCTGTGACAAACACACCCAGGCAGACCACAGCAGGCACCAACATGCAGGGGCCGGGCAGGAGCAGGCTGGTTCCTCCATGCCAGCCCAGCAACCAGCTTCTACCCCTGTGTCAGGGCAACAACTCCCTTAGGCAAATATTTTCTTGGTCAGATTAAGTCCACTTTTAAATTTATTTTCTTAACTACAGTGGATCTGAAACTCAGCTTCCTTGAGAGACAATCTTAGATAAGAAGCAATAAAGCAAAGTGAATCAACACAGAATTTAGGCAAAAAAAAAAAAAAACCACTATAACAAAATGGTAACTTCAAGGCTTCGGGGTATTAACTAAAATCCTCCTGGGAAGCCAGGCGTGTGTCTGCCCCCGGTGCCTGCTCAGGGCTCCACACCTGTGTGCCGGGGCTTGCTCCTGGGCTGTGAGGGCCTGGACTGGGCTCAGCTTCATTACTGTGAAGACAGAGCAAGTCCACAACAGCTTCTGTGGCCGAAGAAGACGGTTTAGCAAATAACCCAACAGAAAGCACCGCACTGGCAGGATGATCCCTCGTGTGTGAAATCAGAACACCCAGACGCGAGGTCAGGCCACCGCGGGGACCGAGCACACAGGGAGGCCTGGATGGCGCAGGGCCAAGCACTGGTGCCTTCACCACGGAGGCATACACTCTCCTTACTTCTTAAATTGTTGGAGTTGTCAACAAGGATTTTAGAAGAAACCTATCAAAATGAAACTCAGTGCTCAAGAGACTGACGAACTGCTCATTCTAGAACCTTCTCTTAGAACTGCGAACATTCCGAAGAATCACTGACAGATGAAATGAGGTAGGCATGACTTACATCAGAGTTTTATGAATCCTTTCTATGGCTTCTTCAAGTTCTTCTTTCTGATCAGGCACAAACCGGTATTCTGAAACATACCCTGCAGTGTGTTTATATGGGTCGTAATCTCCAAGTTCAGCTAAAAAAAAGAAGGAAATTGTGACTTGTTTCCATTCTAGAAACACATTTCTAAAAACAATGAAAATATTGCTATCATGCTGCCACAACTGTCTTCAAGCAGCTTATGGATAAATCTATATGTAACACAATATGATCCCAACGTGTCTCTCAAACAATGGGGCTGGATACAGTGTGCTATTCAAAATGTCCACACTCTAAGCAGTGCTCAGCACTTTACACACCTGGGACAGCTCACACATCTGGGACAGCTCACACACCTGTGAAAGCCCACACACCTGGGACAGTTCACACCTCTGAGAGCTTACACACCTGTGAGAGCTCACACACCCGTGACAGCTCACACACCTGGAACAGTTCACACACCCGTGACAGCTCACATACCTGGGACAGTTCACAACTGTGTTGTTCACACACCTGGGACAGCTCACACCTGTAAGAACTCACACACCTGAGAGCTCACACACATGTGATAGCATGCACACCTCTGAGAGCTCACACCTGTAAGAACTCACACACTGGTGGCAGCGCACACTTGTGACAGCTCACACCTCTGACAGCTGACAAGCATAAACAAGTGGAACCAAACAAGCCCAAGCTACTCTTGCCAACACAAAGTGGCTTTCCAAGCCCCAGGGCAGCTCTCTTTGGGGCATTTTCCCCACATTTCTTACTAATCCGTGGTTTCTGGGTGCCACACAAGCTAAGACTACATTGTACTATTTTCCTTGCACCCAGCCACATCCCCCGGGAAGCACACCTCACTGTGATAGTATTTTCCTCAAACCCCAAGGACAAGGTGCCTGGAAGCCACCCTGTGGCCACCATGCCAGTGCCAGGAGCCAGCATGCCCTCTGCCAGACACATGCTCACTCGGAGCCTGCCACAGCCGTCTCTAGACACAAAGGCTGAGGGGGCAGGCAGAGGGCCCTATGGGGTAGTCCAGCTTGCCATGCTTTTCCTGCAAATCCGCAACTGAATTTGAACAAAACTCAATTTTTATGCAAACTTTTCATTTGAAAAGAAGAAGTTTACTCATAAACCTGCTTACCAAGGACTCAATGTCTTTCCCAGGCCCAGGGAGGCGAGTGTGGCAGGGGCACCTACCCTGGATGGCATGTGCTCCCAGCTGAGCCGCAATGTTGACCGGGCAGGGCAACCGGCCCTGAAGGACATCCTGTTTCACCTGCAAGAAAAACTGGTATCTGGAAGAGAAACAGGAAACAGAGTTAGCCATGGAACCACTCACGCCCCACACGTCAGACCCTGGCACCTGAGCAGCCAATCTCCATCAGCTGCAGGCCAGCAAGGCAGTGGGGGCGCAGCTCAGGAGCTCACGCTGACTGTGGTCGACCAACTCCCTCTCCTGCACTCGCCGTGAGGGTGCACAGAGGCCTTCAGAGATGAACAGGCCATGTCATCCCACTGGTAAGAATGCCCAGGGGACAAAGGGTAAGGCCCGTAAGGGGTTCACAGCTGACACCCTGTAGCTCCAGGTTTCACACCACCACAGACCCAGCTGACCGCACATGAAAGCCTCTGGAAACAGAACACCTCTAAGCTGAGCACAGACAGACTACACAACGCAGGTGCACACAGCATCCTCCTCCTGCTAGGCACTGCACATCCTCCAGAGAGGACTCTGTGCGGGGCAAGGTGTGCACAGGTTCCAGGAAATCCCATACGGTGCTGTATCAGGGATCCACAAACACTCCCTGGTGGGAGTTTCCCGAAGGTCCAGAACATTCCTAGTTTGATGACTGCATGACAAGTCCACTTGGCCACTGCTGATTGGCTCCTGCTTCTCACCAGGACCTTTCTGAGCACATTCCTTATTTCCCTATGTAACTTGACCTCCAAGCTAGCTACTGCAGATTGGTGCAGGAACCAATCACATTCAGGCTCTACTGACTCCCTGATTGGTTCATGCAGAATGCCTCATTAGCATATGCATCAACCTATCAGGTGAACTTCCTCTTTGGGAGTCAGGAGGTAGTCAGACCACTGCAGCCCCTGGCTCTGTGGAGGAGCTCTCTACTTCTTCCAGTGATCCTTCCCATACTCTCCTCCCTCTGCCTTGCCCCGTGCCTCGCGCTCTATGATTACAGGACAAAGCACCTGCAGGGAGGAGAAGGTGAGACACACAAGATGGCAGCCATACTGCACAGATCCCAGTGTGAGAGGAGAGCCGCAAGGCAGGGACCGCACTAGCTATCAAGAATTCAGAAAATCAGAAAAGATAGATGAGAATCTGACACATTTCTTGTGGCCTCTTGCCACCACCCCTGCAGCCTGCTGCCAACGCCCTGCTGAGACCTCGGCCTTGGGCTCCAGAGGTCTTCTGATCTGCCTCTCTTGTCATTGGCCAGTGACCGCCGACCTCCGATTCATGCTCACTTCAGCCATCCTACTGGACTCCCGGGGCATCCCATCCACTCTCTGCCATCATCTCCTGTCCTCCCTCAGAGGAGGAAGGCAAGGTGCCAAGAGGGGAACCTACATAAAGGCCCACACCCCATGGCACAGCTGCCGGACGCTGACTGTGCCAGGACATGGCACTGCTGCGCCCTCCCCACGTGTATTCCGTAAGGAATCTGTCACAGATGCTTCTTTGTTTTCTTCTGTTGGGATTTCACAGTGTCTGACCAGATACTAAAGTTCCTAGCCAACTACAAAAAGTAAGGAACTAATTCAGCAGGGGTTTGCTTTGAAGATGCGAGGCCAGAGGCAGGAAATGACAAGAGCTGACAGACAGAGCAGCCCCTGGCCAGAGACCAGCTGTGCTGGGAAGCAGGACCCACACACACAGGAGGACACGAAGGGCGGACACACTGGCAGACAGGTGATGGGAGCCAAACTCAACATGCTCCACTGAGCTTGGGAGATCCGCGAGACAAAAGCACAGCCGGCTGAGCGTCCCTGGGCAGCCTTGTAAAGACCTCACAGCTCCGCAGGTCACTGCGCTCAACAAAACAAAGGCAGGCGGATACCATCAACTTTTACTCAAGGGAACATCTTGCATTCGTGTAAGACAGACATAGGATAAAGTTAAACCGATCTCCGTGTAAGTCTTGCAGTGCCTATTTTAAGTTGATTGTACATAACTTATTTTATTTATCTCAGGGGACTTTAAGCACAACTGACTATTTTACAGAAATTACAAAGTTCAGAGTGACTGGGTCTTTCACTCCACGCCTGATTAAAGCTGTAACCAAATGCTCGCATTCTTGCTCATCTGCAGCACTGGGAAATGTCTGACATGCAGGTCCCTGCCAACTGCAGGTGGGACTCAAAACCCAGCATGTCTAGAGCTGGCTGATGTTCAAGCTGATGATTTCGTAGGGCCATGAGCAATGTTATAAATATCAAAATGCACCTGACAGAAAAAGCATTTCTCAACCTTGCCTTGGAGTGCCAGACTTTGCATAACAAATTATACTGTAAGATAGTTACAGAGCACCCTGTTGGGGGAAAATGCATATTTAAAATCAACTTACTTAACCAGGAAGTCTGCAGGACAAATTGTGGAAGGAAGCAGAGGCTTCACAAAGCAGTTTCTGGTTACTTGTTCATTAATAGCAAGTGTGCCAAGCCAGCCTGAGACCTGAAGAACTGTGGTCTTTGCCCATCCACACACCCACAGCACCACACAGCGCCAGGAAGGGCTTCAGCTGCTGGAGCTTGCCCTGATGTCGGCTGACATTCCCTACAGACAGCCAGGTAACACCAGTCGGCCAGGACCACAAACCACGTACCACATGGCAGTTCCAGAGAGCGAAAGGAGAGCCGGGAAGAAGGGGCAGAGGCTCCTGTGAGACTCCGTGGCCACACCAGCTATGAAGGAGTCACCCCAAGGAGCCGAGGTGCACCCTCCAAGAGCATGAGACCCTGGAGGAAGTGGAGGGGGAGCAGACATAGATAGAAAGCAGCAAAAACAAAAAGCTGAGGCTCCAGTGGCATGGGCAGAAACAAGGAAGGAAAATGCACAAGAAATTGGTCATTGCTAAGAGAAAGCCACAGAGGTCAGGAAAACTCTTCTGACAACAGCTGGGAGCAGACAGCAAGGACGCTGTTGGCCAGGTGGGTGGTCCTTGAGCGGCCACAGGGAATGTGCCCACCTCAGCCCCACAGGAGGAGACAGGCACCCTGGAACGGAGTAAAGGATGCACAACCCACACAGACCCTAAAACAAGCCACTCCCACAAACAGAAGGAGGATTACTCAAAGAAGGACAGCGGTAACTTGTACATTTAATGTCAATCTCAAACAAAAAACTACCCCCACCAAAATCTTTAAAAACAAAGCAACAGATTTCAGGAGATAACAAGTATTGACTATGAATAAGTCGTTCATTACTCACTTTTTTTTAAGATGTCAGATCCTGGGCCCAGTGCGATGGTTCACTGACTAAAAATCCTCACCTTGCACCTGCCAGGATCCCATGTGAGTGCAATACATGTCCCGACTGCTCCACTTCCCATCCAGCTCCCTGCCTGTGGCCTGGGAAAGCAGTGAAGGATGCCCAAAGCTCTGGGACCCTGCACCCACATGGACAACCCAGAAGAAGCTCCTGTCTTCTGGCTTCAGATCAGGCAGTGAACCAGCAAATGGAAGATCTTCCTCTCTGTCTCTCCTTCTCTCTGTAAATCTGCCTTTCCAATAAAAACAACTAAATCTTTAAAGCTATCAGATCCATAGAAGTTCAGACAAACCACAGTGGTATTCTAAGGCTATCAGCTCCAGCTCTCCCAGGCCAGCACATGGCATCTTTCATAGCGCTGCTGAGGAGCCAGTGGGCAAGTAGATCATTTCATGACACACAGCTCAGGAGATGTGGCAAGTGAGTCCTCAGTGAGCCCTTGAAGAGTTCTGATGAATGGGTTGACACGTGTTAGGGCTCCAAGATAATCTTTCCTTAAATACTTTCTTTTTTTTTTTTCGAGACTTATTTATTTTTATTGCAAAGTCAGATATACAGAGAGGAGGAGACAGAGAAGAAGATCTTCCGTCCGATGATTCACTCCCCAAGTGACAGCAATGGCCGGTACTGCGCCGATCCAAAGCCAGGATCCAGGAAGCTCCTCCAGGTCTCCCATGCAAGGGCAGGGACTTTGGGCCATCCTTGACTGCCTTCCCAGGCCACAAACAGGGAGCTGGATGGGAAGTGAAGCTGCCGGGCTTAGAACCGGCGCCCATATGGGACCCCGGCGTGTTCAAGGCGAGGACTTTAGCCGCTAGGCCATGGCGCTGAGCCCCCTTAAATACTTTCAATAATCTGAAAATATAAAACAACTCTCACTACTTCCATTTCAGCTACCCTTTCCGTTTACTGAATGTCTTTGCTTGATGTAAGTACTGTGTATTACACAAACCTACCATCATCTTTTTGAAGCAATGCTGGAATTCACTGTATGAATGAGAAAATCAAGGCTTTCGTTCGTCTTCTCTGAATTACACAACAAGAAAGTAACAAAGAAAACCAGGATGAATGCAAACTTTGGCCCACCTGACTCGTCGACTGTCTTCTAACTAATGTGTGTGTGTGACTCTCATCAAACCTTCATGCAAATGTGCTAAACACAGGAAAGGATATCCTGATATTCTGAATTACAGTTGAAAGTAAATTTCACACACTCATGAGAGCATGGGCTAAAAGACTAACCAAGAAAAGACAAATGAGATTAATCTGAGAGATTTGGAAAGGAAACAGACTGAAGTCCCAGGCAATTCTTATTTCGAACTGAATGTTTTATTGCTTTCCAAGGTGCTATGGTTTCCTATCTAAAATTGTTTAAGAGGAAGCTGGCTGGTATGTCAGGAATGTTCCATGGGGTGGAGGCCAACATGGAAGACCTCGGAGTCACCAACTGCATTTATTTCAGAGAACAATTTAGAACACGTAGCAGGGCCTCCCTGTTGCTACAGTTCCGAGGACTCCCATTTTTTATATTGTGAAACTTCATCTTCCTGTATACAAAGCTTCTGCTAACAAATCATGTCCTGAAATACTGCATCTAGATGGTCAAATGCATGTGTGCCTGACAGACTGCGCAGCAGCACGACACATAATTTCTTATTTAAAAACAAAACTGACTTGAACAGCCGCCCCAGGACTGGCTCCACAACCCATGAGTGCTAGAAGGACAGAGAAGGCTGGGTCAGCAGGGAAAGAGCTCACACAGCTACGTGAAATGGTCCAACATTAAAGGCAAGATCACTAGACATGCATTCATGTAACACTAGACATGCATTCATGTAACACTAGACATGCATTCATGTAACACTACCCTTCACATCAAAAAGTTATAAAGCATTTAACAATACAGCATATGCTGGGAAAGCTTTTCCAAAGAACTGAATCACAATAAACATGCAACTGGAAAATGCTAGACTAAGTATTCTTTTGTGGCAAGCACAATATTACAATTTTGGTTTTGTGTTTTCAAGTTTCTCTTTTGCTAAAATATCTTGTGTCATCAACTTTCTTTTTGGGTCCATTATGCCAGTGTGTCGAGGTGCCCACAGCCCTGCCAATCAGGCCTGTTGCTGCAGAATACAGGCACAGCAGTCACTGCAAAGCCGCATCAGCCACATCCACCTGTACCTTTGGGGCAAAAATAAAGGAATCACTGACAGACCATGATCTGCAAGTGCAACCGAGCACATCCCCAGGGTTCAGTGACACCTGGTCTGACTCCCCAGGGACAGCGGTCGCAGTGAGGTGTGCTGGGGCTGTTCATCGGGCAGCACCGCAGCTAGCTCACCGCTGAGAAGCTGTGCATTATAAACCCTGGGCCTTTCCCACTCGTAGCTGTCCATCCCTAACCCCAACCACGCTGGAATTCCCTTGCACTGGCACAGCCGGCACAGCCTGGAACAAGATGTCTGCTCTGACCCAGCCCTCGCTGGAAGCCCAAGACGACCACAGCAGCTGTACCAACATCAGTCCAGTCAACGGTCACAAAGGTATGGCAACTTCACAGCCGAGCAAAGCAGGCAACAAAGGAGTGCCCCCCAACCTCAAAGCAAAGGACTCCAATTGCATTTTGTTTTTTTTTTAAGATTTATTATTATTCTTCTTTTAATCGCAAAGTCAGATATGCGGAGAGGAGGAGAGACAGAGAGGAAGATCTTCCATCCATTGATTCACTCCCCAAGTGGCCACAACAGCTGGTGCTGTGCCAGTTTGAAGCCAGGAGCCAGGAATCTTCCCCAGGTCTCCCAGGTGGGCGCAGGGTCCCAAGGCTTTGGGCTGTCTTTGTCTGCTTTCCTAGGCTACAAGCAGGGAGATGGATGGGAAATGGGGCCACCAGGCTTAGAATCGGCGCCCATATGGGATCCTGGCGCGTTCAAGGTGAGGACTTTAGCTGCTAGGCCACGGCGCCGGACTCCAACTGCATTTTCATACAACACTGTTCCTCTGCAATGTCCTGCTGAACTATGCCTACAAAGGCTTCTTTGTACACAAGGGATCAGTTCCTCCAGAAAACTCTGACATGGCGCCCCTCCGCCAGCGCCTCTCCCCGTGCCCTGCGAAGGCTCAGCAGGCCCGCTGCTCACACGCTCCCTGACAGTACGATCACACAAGAGTTGCATGCAGGCATCTGCAGGTTCCAAAACCACGGTCCCAGGCCAGCACGCAGCACTGCCGAGCGGGACGCCAGGGCCCCTGGGCCCACTGCTCCTCTGTGTACCCACCAGGATCAAAAAGGGCAGAAATAAAATCACATACCACCCCCCTCATCATCAAACACACCACTTCCAATTTTCAGAGAACACACAGGCTCCCCTGAGCCTTGACGAGGGCTCCCTAGCCAGCGGCTCGCGGCAGTGCAGGTAGGTACCAAGTGTTTGGCTAGCTGCCCCCGCGTCCAGGTCTCTCCCTCATCACGGAGCCCGAGCTCGCACCCCTGCCACCCTCTGTCACTCAGCAAGCACCTATGGCCGTGTGGACACGTCAGCTCGTCATTGTGTCACGCTAGCATCAAATGCATTCACCAGCCCACACAGCTGCCTCGCACAGCGCAGGCTTCCCTTTGCCTCGCGCAGGAAGCGCCTGATCAAATGCAGGGACAACACATCCAAACACGTGACCCAAGTCTCGCTTGCTTTACATAAAGCCTTCTGTATGCACACACCAGTCCAAGGATCCAGCCCATACTGTACCTGGTTACCTCTTCCTTAAGCTTACACGGATCTTCAGCGTAGAATTTAATACCAAAATACAAAGTATATGGAGGTCCAGCTAAAATAAGAAACAGAAAATCATTAAAATTCCAATTTAAAAATTAGAAGAGTACACCTTACTGACTAGTCAGAACAATACAGACTGAACCACCACATATGACTACATTCCCAGGTACTGCTAAGACCCAAAACACGATGGGAAACGCAGAGACCGGTGAGAGGGCAGGCCTTCCACTATCCACGTACGTGTGCACAGAACCACGCACACACGCACACACACTGTGCGGGAACTATGCAGTGTGCACATGCCCTCTGTGTGTCCACACACAAAACTAGGAAACTAAAACATACACAAACCTTGCTTTTTCTTATTCTTGGTTAGTTACGTAAGCACCATTTTTAATATATATATGTTTGCCATATTTCACATTTTTAAAGATACATGTGCTGTTTTTTCATAATGAAGAAAGTGATGACAAAGCCAACACTTTTAGCACTATTTACCTATCACCTCAGCTATCACCGAAGACCACCAGGAACCTAAGGGCAGCAGGTGGGCCGCAGGCTGTGCACACTGCAGGCCAGGCACGGGACACAGGTGCCGCGGGCCCAGGCTGGCATGCCGAGGAGAGCGGCAGCAGCCACCATCACGGAGCTCAGTCACCCGGCCCGACGCAGAAGGAGGTCCCTGTACAAAGGTCAAGGTCAGCTAAGCCACCTGCTTTTCCTGAAAGGTATGCAAGAAGTTATTAACAATGGTAAACTTCGGGGAGACCGGGAACTTTGCCTTCACACTGATTAGAATTTTCTAATCACATTTTTTTTTATCCCTTTTAAAAAATAAAATGGAGCTGAAACGGTAGCACAGCAAGCGAAGCCATCGACTGCAATGCTGGCATCCCCAGGAAAAGCAGTGGGAGATGGGCCCTGCATCCACATAGCAGACCTGAATGAGACCCCCGGCTCCTAGCTCTGCTCTGGCTGTAGTGGCCATTTGGGGAGTGAACCAGAGGATGGAAGATTCTCTCTTTCTCTCTGTAATTCTGCCTTTCAATTAATCAATCTTAAAAAAGAGAGAGAGAGAGAGAGAAAAAAAAAACCTCAATGAGGCTTATGCAGTCAGAATGACAGGATTTAATTCTTTCTTGACCTTTTCTGAGTCTAGAAAGGCTTTATTTATCATGTCACTCATCTCCCACATACAGAAGACCTGAGTCTACCAATATAAGAAGACTCAAACACAGCGAGGAATTACACATTCTCAGGCAAACACGAAAGACGCAGTGCTCGCAAGCAGACAGCAGCACCCTGCGTGTCCACCACAGGGCGCAAGGGTGGGTCTCCATCTCTGCCTTCTCCTGGCATGGGGCGGGTGACGGGCAAGGCCAGGCCATCCTTCTGCCTTCCCTCCCCTCCTCAGGAAGCAGTTTCTACACCAGGACTTCGTGGCAAAGTGAATTCTGTGCCACGAGCTCTCCTCACTTCTCTGTACACTGAGCCATGGGGTGTGTAACTCTGACACGCACTTCCTCCCCCAAACATGGACGGCAGGCAGAGACTGTGGGGCACTTAGGAGAACCACCAGTCAGGGCCATCAGGCACCACGGGCACTCAGAATCATGGAGGCCCGCGGATGTCTCCCAGCCAGGGTACCAAGCATACGTTCTCCAGGCCAGATTGCCTTTATCTCCTGGAACATGACAGGTGGCACCCACACATCCAACACGGCCACAGCACACATGTTCAATGGGAAACTGCAAGGCGGAGGCGTGTCAACTATCCATGAAAAACTGTTGGTCTGGGAGGAACATTTTTAGCTACTTCCGGTTCACATCAGGCCTCCATCTCTCTGCCCCATACACATGGGAATGTGTTTTATGGCAGGCATTGTTGCCATCTGACTGCACTGAGAATGTACAAGGCCTGTTGTCAGCACCGGCTGCCACCATAACCTGGGAGTTTGTACGGTGGGAACGGCTGGGGCGCCCTCAGCAGGACTGGGCGAGTGGCAGCCCCTGTCCTCTCAGCAGGAGGGCGGGTGGCCTTGCAGAGGGAAGCAACCCCCAAGACCTGCACCCCTTAGAGGGATCAAGCACACCTCCCCCATCCCTGCCCGCACTACTGCTTCTCCCAGCAGCCGCTGATGTGCAAATTGATGTGTAAACAAGAGTAAGTGTTCGAGTCAGCACAGGGGTGTAGCCTCCTATTCCTCCACCTGTGGAGCCAACATCCCTTATGAGAACCTGCTCCGGTTCTGTCTGTTCAATTTCTGATCCAGTTCCCTGCTAAAGCACCTGGGAAAGCAACCGAGCGTGGCCCCAGGTCCTGGGTCCCTGCACCCACACGGGAGAGCAGGGAGAGATTCCAGACTTTGGCTATCTCAGCTCTGGCAGATGCAGCTATCCGGGGAGTGAACCAGCAGATGGAAGACCTCTGTTTGTCTCTCCTCTCTGTAACTATGACTTTAAAAGCCCCCAGATGTAGAGCTGATGAAGTAAATAAGGAATCCTCAGCACGGTGAGTGTGTGCCATGCGCAGACTCCACAGGGACGAATCCCCATGCACAGAGAAGCTAGCAGTTCCTCCCTTCCACAACAACAAACCAGAGCCTAGACCAGAATGTCCCGGTCTACTCCCTGCAGACACCAGTTTCAAGCCTTTAGTAATCGCTCTATTTAAGTCAAGATTCCTCCACCAGAACCCTGGAGACCAGCAAACGCTCTGCCATTCTTCTGGACGTCCCTCTGACTGCGCTAACGGAGCAATCGTGGCTGCCTGCTGGCACTAATGAACGCACTACTGCATGTGCTGAAATGCAAGTATTCAGTTGCTTATTTCTTCAAGTGAAATAAAGTTTTATTGTTACTGTATGTCAAATTTGTAAGGATTATATTTTCTGAGATGAAAAAGAGGCTGCACTGTAATGTGTTTAAATGGAGTAATGCATATTACACAAACAGAAACTTTCCATGTGTTGAGGTTTCGCGGTTGCTGAGCACCCAGCCGTTCCAGGCACAACCAGGGACCTGCGCCCACACCCATGAGGGCCAGGCACCGAGAGCAAGGCCTTGTGTGGGAAGTGCAGCATCAGGTCAGGGCTGCAAGGCTGGGGGCTGTGAGCCCACCAGGGCCCGAGCAGCAGTAATCACAGCTCCACACATGACTTACGGGCACACAACTTCAGCAGGGGACGCTGAGGAGCTCGGGGGCGGCTGGGGGCGCTGCCACACAGCGCGGGCATGCTGCACACCACCGCACAGCCCCAAATGGTTACAGCTGCTAGGATAGGGGCCCATGGACTCTACAAATTAAAAACTTTCTGAAAACCAAACTAAAAGTATTTTTAAAAATAGCTTAAGAGCCAGAGAAGCAGAAAGAGAAACAGGGCAGCTAAGCTTACTGGCTGGTTCAGTCCCCAAACTGCCTGCCACGCCTGGAGCTGGGAGCCCAATAAGGTCACCAGCTCGGACAGCCAGGATCTAAGGCATTACCATGGCCCCCCAGTGATTATAAACATCTTAAACAAGAGCCACACACTTAAAAAAAACTTTTCTAAAGGGCATCCTTGGGGTGAGCACTGTGACACAGGACTTGGGGGCAAAGTCATCACCTGCCACGCTGGCTTCCCATATGGGCGGGTTCATGTCCCAGCTGTTCCAATTGGATCCAGCTCCCTGCTAACACGCCTGGGAGAGCAGCAGAGGACGGCTCAAGTGTTGGGCCCCTGCCGCCCATGTGGGAGATCCAGAAGAGGCTCCTGGTTCCTGGCTTTAGACCAGCACAGCTCCGGCCACTGCAGCCATTTGGTGAGTGCACCAGAGGATGGAAGATCTCTTTCACAGTCTCTAATTCTGTAGCCCTTTCAAAAGTAAATTAAACTTTTTTTAAAAACCATTCAGTTGGTCTGAAATGACCTCTTTACTTTTTTTTTTAAGATTTTTTTTTCCCCACTGGAAAGGCAGATATACAAAGACAAGGAGAGTTAGAGGGAAAGCTCTTCTATCCACTGGTTCAGTCCCAAATGGCCACAGTGGCTGGAGCTGAGTTGATCCGAAGCCAGGAGCTTCATCTGGGACTCCCACATGGGTGCAGGGTCCCAAGGCTTAGGGCTCTCCTCCACTGCTCTCCCAGGCCGCAGGCAGGGAGCTGCTGGATCGGAAGTGGAGCAGCCGGGACACGAGTCGATGCCCATATGGGATACCGGCACTTACAAGTGGAGGATTAATGTGGAGCCATGACATCAGCCCTAATCTTGCTTTAAAATAAAAAAAAAAAGAATATTCTTTGTAGCTAGTAAGAAGTGTGTGTGTGTAAATATTCAAGTTACTGAAATCATGATTCAGGAACATAATCTTCTCTATCCTGTCTCCCAGGCCCTGCAGATGGACGGCTCTCGAAGCCTCAGTGACACCTCAGCTCACAGAGCAGCCCTCAGCAAGGGACCTGCAAACCCAGTGCCGTGAGAAACGCAAACCCAAGGACCCGGTCATTGCCCTGTGTCCAGTCCAGGCCTCGCTGCCTTTTGTCTTAAGGTCAAACTGCAGCTGACAGAGCTACAGCCCGAGGACAAAGTCATGAGGGAACAGAATACGCACTGTTGATGAGCTCCTTGTGTTCCGCGAGGGTCTTCGCAGGATCCAGCCAGTACTGGGAAGAGAAAGGGGCTAGTTACAACATGAGTTGACTGGTGTTGACCCCAGAACTTCTGCACAAAGTGGTTACAGACACACACAGTTGCTAAGTCAAACACTTCATTCATCCGGCTCCCACCCCCACACACACCCATGACACACAGGGGAGAGAGAGGAGTACAGAGGCTGCAGTGGGGAGCAGCAGACCCGGACATGGGGAGCACAGCCCGGGGCCTGGCTGCTCAGGCTCTCCCAGGCTCCTCCCCAAGGCCTCATCACACCCCGCCCTCACCCTGGCCACCCTTCCAGGCTGCTCCCCACAGTACCACTGCTCAGCCCTAAGAGCCATCAGATCCCTGTGACAGATGCCAGGAGCAGCTCAGCTCAGTGGCCCAGGCCTCGTCACAGGCACATCCCGGATTCCAGTCCCGCTACATCATCACCACGTGACTGGGGACAAACCCAGAGTGAGTTCATTCGTCCAACTTTCCCAGAGCAGTTACCCCCCAACCCACACACCAAGCACAGCCGCTCCACAGAGGTGTGTGGTCGCTCAAGGCCCACCTTCCAGCCGTCATGCAGGGAACCTCTGCCAGCAGCACTTGAAGCAGTGATGGGTGGTTCCTAGACCCTAGGCAGCTTGGTGCAGTCCAACCAGTGCAGACAGACAGGTAAGAGGTCCCCTGGGGGGAGGGGACACTTCCCAGGTAGTGCCAAGAGGGCGACCCTCAAGGGAACAGGTGCAAAGCCAGAGATCTCCCCTCCTAAGTACGGGGAACTCCAAGCCCAAGCAACCCAGCTCCCGTTTCCCATGCTCCTGTGATGAAGGGATGACTCTCCTGCAGGGAGGTGAGAGCTGACTCATCCCGGGCCACCTGCTTCCCAACCCCCTGCGGGCACCCGGGGAGAACGGCCACACCCCCTGGATGGCCCAGAGCCATCCAAGCAAGCCCAGCTAATGGTTCCCTCACCTTGCCCTTAGCTGAGCGAGGGCACACTGGCTCTGCTGTGCCACAGTGAACACGAGTTGGAAACTCCTAGAAAGTTTGCAGGTGGTGACACCAACAGATGTGGGGAAGAAGGGAACAAGACACCGCCCAGAAATCAAACCACACATTTACAGTATCTGAGAACCTACGGGAACCAGCACCCACACAGTTCACCAAACCAACTCAGGGCAGGTGGAAGACCCAAGTGCCTGAGTGCAAACTATGCAACTACAGAAGAAAACACGGGAGCAGCCGCCTGGCACCGTCTGGGCTCACACTTTGTGGACATGACCCCAAATGACGCCTTCCACCGCTGACTGCACATGGAGGAATTATCCCATCAGGCAGGTGTCACAGTGGTTCCACTGCAAGACTTCAACACTAGGCTAAATCGCTAAATCCTCTTCACACATACGTCATCTCCACCATTTGTAATTTACACAGCAACTGTTAAAGTAACCAACGTAACAGGATGCTTCAGAAAGCCTGGGTAACGCGAGCACAGGGATGAGCGTGGGGCTCAGCAGGGATGACATCACGTGGGAAGCCTACATCCCACACTGCAGTGTCAGGGCTCAGTCCAGCTCCACTTCCCATCCAGCCTCCTGCCAGTACGCAGCCAGGAAGGCTCAAGTCAGACCTGGCTGAACGGGCATTTGGGGAGTAAATCAGCAGAAGACATCTCAGCCTCGTCCTTCAAAGAAAACAAAAAATACTTTAAAGATATGCTTATTTTGGTACAAAAACTTTCAAATCCAGGCACAAGTTTTTCATAATAAAAATTTTTTTTGAGTTAATTTTTGAAGATCCCCTTGCATAAACACAGCAACTTGAAACACAACCTTCACTGCTCCAGTCTCCTCCAGTTCTCGCTTTTTTAGCTTAGCATCACTTCCTTCCAAAACAGGAGTTTCTGAGGCAGAGGCTGCCAACGGCGAACTTCAGGAGCCCACAGCGACCACAGACAGTGGCTTTGGCGCCAGGATGGTTCACAGGGAGACCTCAGCTCGTTCACACAGAGCAAGCCGAGCCCAGTGTCAGGCTGCACATCGGCACCCCGAGCAATGCAGAGCCACGGCTTCCTCCTGCACACGGGCACAACACCGGGCCTCTTCGGCCACACAGGGAACACGGCAAGGTTCAGCCAGGTTTTTCAGAGGCCAAAGAGAACAAGCCCAGAGCCTCAGGCTTCTAGAACACACAAGGCTACCAGCTGCACATTCGTAAAGCAAACATGGCCATGGCTAAGTAACTGAGAACCCAAAACCCCAAGTCCTTCATGATCAACCCAGAACCTAAGGCAGCGCTGTCCAAGGCCTCCCACACTCGGCAGACATCAGCAGGTGGGGGGACGCTGTGGCTCAGTCCCCACCAGCCCCCTCCAAAGCTCACCTGGCAGGCAGGTCCCAGGGGAGCGGAGTCGGGAGGCAGGGGAAGCTGCAGGAGTGAGGTGGCCGCACACAGGTCCCAGGGGAGCAGAATCGGGAGGGAGGCAGGGGGAGCTGCAGGGGTGAGGCAGCCACGGGGACACTGCCCACATGAGGTGGGATGGTAGACTCTTGGGACTAGAGTCATTCCGAGGGGTGAGTGAGTTTTCAGACCCTGTTCTGCGAACTGTCGTTCTTTTCCTGCCCATCAGCTTGCTGGCCCTCCCACTGTGCACAAGTGATGACGGAGGACCTGGCCCTTGCCTGAACCTTGACTTCAGCCTCTGCAACCAGGAGCCTAAAGAAACATTTCTACTAGGTAAGAAGAACCAAGAACCACACAGGACCACAGCCTCCTTGATCTGGAAACAGGCCCCTTGCCATGAGAAGCACAGCCCAGGCAGAGCAACAGCAGCACGTATGGGTGAAACCCATCGCCAAGATCGCCATGGCACCTCTGCCACCTCTTGCACAGTAACAGGAAGTCCTCCAGCACGGCGAGGACCCGGGTCCTCAGGAGCGACCCAGGGACTCTCCAGCCGTTGCCTCACCTGTGCTGAGACCTGCGGGAGAGGTGAATGTGCAGGAAGCCAAGTGCTGCTTGAGCTCAGTGTGGAGGAATGACAGCCGGAGCTCAGAGGACTGCACACTGGAAGCAGGCCGGTGGTCTCCCCGCGCCCCCCGGCAAACTCCCGCTCAGCTGCTCATGAGAAAATGGAAAACCCGGCAGCAGAATGGAGCCCGTGGCAAGGCAGGCTGCAGAAAGCCAAAGAAACAGCTGCAGCTGCCCAGCAAACAATCGCCGGTCCCCTCCCTGAGCTGAGTACTCAGGCCACGGTCCTAGCAATGTCCTCACTGCTGCGAGCGTGGGCATGCGTCCTCGCCACCTTACTGTGGGTCTTCTGGTCAGTGGAGCTGTGCTCACAAGCGCACCTTCAAGGAAACTCCTGGAGAGCTAGCCAGATGAGATTCGGACCTCCAGCTCACCTTCAAAGCCTCAGGAAATGAGAGTGGGGGCGACAAGTGCTATTAGAGGTGTGGAGAGGAGCTGCTGGCCAGGGACAGGGCACGCTCTTCAAGTTCCTAGTAATGGAAGATGAGTTCTCTACCATCAAGTGGGGACTGGCCCTCTCTAACCAAAGGGGTGTGATGGCAGTCACTCAGACTCTGTCACAGCTTGCCCTGGGTTTCTGATCTATGTCCAGTCCATGCACCTGCAGCCATTCCACGTGCAGCCACAGGTGAGGCCCCAGCCAGCGCCAACCTCGGCCAACAGACATGTGAAAGGGACCTCAGACGACTCCAGCCTTAGAGCCTCCCTCGCTGGCCCTGAACCGAGCAGAATCCCAGCTCTTCCCAACAATGCCTGCCTGCCTGCCTGCCTCGCAGGTGCATGACCAAAATCTGTGCAGTCACTGTCGCAAGCCCCTCTGTCAGGGGAAGGCTTTGCACAAGGCAAGGCTTACAGGCAAACCCCGACTCTCTGGAGCTCACTCAACAACCCTGGGGCTGCTCCTGAATTTGTGTCTCTGGAACTTGATGAGCTTCCCTCTGTGTCCTTCCAGCAGCTGCTGCCACAACCTGGCGAGAACTTGCAGCTTCCTGCTCGCTGGCATCGTTCAAAACTCAGCTGTCTCTGGGAAGAGCCATTGGCCAAACGCATTCCCGTCCCATGTTACCTGCATCTGGGCCACACAGATGTTATAGCATCTGTTCTGCTTCAGCCTGACTCTCCCACACACTCCTCTCACCCTAATGGAAACGACTGATCTGGCTGGCTCTTGGGGACCCTGCTTTGAGCCGCTGGGAGCCCCTGGCCACTCCTTCCAACACACAAGCCCGGCCGTGCTGGGCGGCCTGACAGCTGCATCTTAACCGGTGCTCTCCAGCCTTCTCAGGCCAGGCCACAGAGCAGCCGGCGTGTGAGGATGTCATCCTGGGATGAAGATTAACACAGCTCTGAGGAGCTGCTGGCTCCGCAGGCAGATGCTGAATCCCAAAGGCAGACACGCGAAGGCGTCTGGCTGCCCGAGCCACGTCAGCCCGGCTCCAGCAGGAGTGGAGTTCCTGCACTCTTGGGTCACACAGCATCACCATGCAGACGTGGGATCAGCTCATGTCAAAATAAAATCCTGTGTCTGCCACGCCCGAAGCTAGCGTGGGACTGGCTTAAGCTCCTCCTTCCAGCACACCGTGCTGCTTGGCACACAGGGCAGGCCGGGCCGGGCAAGGCAGGCACAGCGTCACACAGCAGCCTTGGGCCCACTGCTCTGCAGTGAAGCCTCCTCTCCACAGGGCCCTACTCTACCCTAAACTGGTCTCAGGACTCCAGCACTGACGCTAGCCGCCCGGAAGCCCGGGCTATACAACTAACCCGCCCCAGGACACGCGCTAGACAGTTTAAGCTCAACACGAGTCTGGACTTCCCATCCCCATTCCATTCTCAGAGCGCGTGGCTCAGCTGCAGGCTGCCGGCCCCAAGTGTGGTGTGTCCAGCATCACGCTCTCCTAGGACCGTGGTTGCCATGGGACCACTGCACCAGCCCAGCCTCCTGCCTGCTGCGCTCTCCTTTCCATCACTCAAGTCTCAGTATCACCTCAGGGGGGTCTCTTTTGACCCCTCCTCATGGGAGCAGCCTCCTAGTCACTCTTCAGAACACTGTCACACCTGATGCTTAATTTGTTCTGTCTGCCCTGTCAGCACGTGCCAGCGGGAATAAACAGTGTCACACCAGACCGTGCTAAATTCATCTCTTCCATAAAATACACTGCAATTCCCCCTGCCTTCCCTCACCAAACGTACTCTGTAAGAAAAACCACACTCCTCCATACCCCCGGCTTTCAAAAGGCTGCCTCCTGCTAAATCATAAGGCAACTTCCAAAGCTCTCGACCCTTAGATAAAGCGATGAGTCCCAACCCTACCCACATGGCAAGCGCCCAAGCTCAGACACCGCCTGGAGCACCTCACTTACTGGAACAGGCCCTACCAAAGCCGCAGAACTGAGTCACCTTAGCTCTGCATACACAGGACACACCTGACGCTTCACAAAACTCCAAGGAAAAACAACGCAGGAACGTTCCACATGCTACTAGCAGGTACCCAGCACGTCCCAATCCAGCTCCTTATTATAGTCATGGGGGGAAAAAATCCACTTGAGATTCAGAATGAAGTTAAATCAAGGTTAATTATCACACATCCTTATTAGCAAAACTCTGGACTGAAAAAGACAGTCTTTGGAGCAGGCACTGTCCCACACCCCATACGGCATCTCACTCAAGTCCCGGGTGCTCCACTTCTGATCCAGCTCCCTGCAGTGTGCCTGGGAACGAGGCGGAGGGTGGCCCGAGTGCTTGGGCCCAGAAGAAGCTCCTGGCTCCTGGGTTCAGATCAGCTCAGTTCTGGTTGAGGCCACTGGGGAATGAGCTAGTGAGTGAGGAGAACATCTCTCCCCCCTCCCTCCTCGTAAGTGTGTATGCCTGGCTCTTCCTCTCTCCTTCAAATAAATAAATATTTTTAAAAGATGTTTCCTTAATGATTAAGAAAACATCTTGGATAATGAAAGTACCACTTTCCCACTAGCCATCAATCAACTACCTGGCATTCTCTCCTTTCTTCTGATTTAACCAGGGAGAACAGTCCAACTTTTTAAATGTTCATGGTAAGGAAAGCAGCAATGTTCCTTTCACACACTCGTGGGCCCAGGACGTGTCCCGGGACCCGCGATCGCCATCAGGAACGCTCTGCAAAGCTGCCTGCCTCGCCTTGCGCACAGACGGGCATTTAGTTCACAGAACTGCGACTGGATGCAGGCGTGCCGCCGCCTCTCAAGCTGATGACAGCTCCGTTTTTAAAGATTTTGCATTTTGCTATTTTCACCTGTTTTTTTTTTTCTTTTAATGTCATTTTGGTGGGAAATGGACACTGGCCATGTTTTAGTAATCCTACAGGATCTAGTGAGGACCGATCTGCATCACCAAGGTGACAAAGCGCTTTCCAGGGACCAGCCGGGCTGGGTGGTTTAGCAAGGACTGGCTTTGCTGAAGCAGTGCGTGTCTGGACATTTTCAGTAAATGGAATAAACTACATCTGCAGCTCTGAGAGGCCAGCGAAACATGGAGTCCACAACAAGACAAAAGCACGCCATGAAAAATCTTGTGTTGGTGGATATATGCAGGAGTGAACGATGTTAAGTGTTCCTAACCCCTTCTGGTTGCCTCTAAACAAGAGAAAGAACATGTAAAACACCTGAACAGAGAAGCCTGTCGTGGTTCCTGCCGCAATAACAAGCCTGTCATGGCTCCCTCCATGGCTGGCAAAGTGAGTGTGGTGCTGTGGGGCAGGACTGCTCCCAGCAACGGTCTGGGGGAGGGACCCCGTGCACCTCAGGGACCCCACATACGGAGCGGCCTGCACCCGAACTCCCTCGTCTCCCTGCGTTTCGGGGAACCAGGAGGCTATGCGGTGCTCCCATATACACAAACAGGAAACAGGACAGAATCGCAGTCAGTCCAGCATAGGTACCAGGCTCTCCACTCACAGACCAGGGCCCCGGCAGACAGGGGAGTCCAGCCAGGCTCTGCACTCACAGGGCCCCAGCAGGCAAGGGAGTCCAGCCAGGTTCTGCACTCACAGGGCCCCAGCAGGCAGGGGAGTCCAGCCAGGCTCTGCACTCACAGGGCCCCAGCAGGCAGGGGAGTCCAGCGAGCTCCCTGTTCATCAGCAGCAGAACCGGACCTGTCCTGGGCAGCCTGAGCCCACCACCATCCTGCTCCACTCAGAACTGCTCTGGAAATCCCAGCAGCAGGCTCCAGCTTCTCCCAGGCTGGGATTTATCTTCAATTTACCAGTTCCTCAAAGCAAAGAAGTCTGGGCTGTGTTTCAGGGCTCTGTCTGTGGCTGCCCTCTCTCCCATCAGAGGCACCTAAATACTCCTGCGGCCGAGATGGCTGAGACGGGCACTGGCAGGCACCTGTGGAGGCACAAGGCGCTGCGGGCACAGTATGGATGACAGCACCACACCAAGGGCTCTCCACGCAGTCAGCTCCCACCCCACTCTTCTGTTCCATGCATTGCCCACCCGCCCCAGGGTTCCTGCTGCCCAGCCCAGCGTGGACTAATATGGTCCTTTTTAGGCCTCACATGACACATACCATGTGGTATACATGACACACACACAGGCATTCCCCGCCAAAAAAGCAAAGTGCTGCCGAATCCTGATCTAACAGTAATTCACCGGTGGAAACCGTGGCCAAGACGTCCTTACCACACTTAGTGCTGCTGTAACACCGAGGTCGCGTTGCTAAAGAAGCTACGACTGTTACTTCCAACACATGCTGGACTCCTCCATCAGAAAATCAAACAGCACGCCTGGACACACAGAGACCAGGAAGCACTCACGCACCACATGCTGCCCATGCCCAGGTGAGGATGGGGGCACCGATGCCCAGGCAGGCCGTGCCCAGGTGAGGAAGGGGGCACCGATGCCCAGGCAGCCCGTGCCCAGGTGAGGAAGGGAGCACCGATGCCCAGGCAGCCCGTGCCCAGGTGAGGAAGTGGGCACCAATGCCCAGGCAGCGCTCACACACCTAAAATCCGCACTGGTAATCTTACCACAAATGCTAAATCTTTATGAGTAGAGCTGAGAAAAGATATTCTGGTTTTAATATAAGCCCTACAAAACTTTCAATGAGCTATCGACATTAACTGCTCTTTCTTCTGCAACAGTAAGAAAAGTCCATTATTTGAATTCTTTAACATCCCCAGCTTTTTTTCTTCTGTTTGCAAAGAGAAAAAAGAGAGATAAGATCTGCTCCAGATAAGGCCTGACATCAGAAAAGATCAAGAAACTGTTCTCTGCTGAGAAAAATATGATCTCAGAAACACAGACATGATGCAAGATAGGTCCTCTGGCCTGCGAGAACTCCAAACGCTACCCCAGGGAACTGCCCTGAGCAATGGTCCACGCCAGGGAGGACTCCACCGACTCCTGAGCACACGCGTACCTTTGCTGACTTGCAGGACAGCACCCCTGCTGCACACAGCTGTCCAATACAGCCAGGGTCTCCCTTCTGCCTCAAGACACCCTCCTGTGCAATAGAATAGGCTTCTGGGCCAGGTCACCGCAGCTGTCAGCAGCAACAGCCCCCGTGCCACTCCCAGCACCACTCAGGGAATCCTACTCCTGGCACGTGTGCACCCGGAGATCCATGGGAGGCTGGGAGAGCCCTGACAAAAAGAGCACTCTCCCTTCTATAGCAGGTCCCTGCACTCAGCCCCTCGCTCCCTCCTTCCAGACAGGAAGAACCGACAGCAGCCCTGAGGCCTGGGCCGTCCCCTCCCCTGATCCCATCAGGCTGCTGAAGGCAAAGCCCTCCTGTTTGGAATCACCCACACCACTTCCAAAACATGCGCAGCCTCTGATTTGCACTGAATAGATTTCTTTAACTGCCTCCTCTCTGGAAGGCAGTACCCCCATCACACTCTGTACACATCCAGCACACATTGAAGGGCATACCACGCCTCACTAGCACCCTGGCCGTCACGTGCCAAGGCTGGGCTTGGCTGGGCTGCCGGACACACCTGCCATATGAGCACCCATCCAAGGGAGCCAGGAAACCAGCACTCCACCCCCAAACCTACCCCAGCTCTTTGGACAGGAGAGGAGAAATGCATCAAAATTATCACGGGAAACCAGGCTTCAGGCTTGTCCAGTTCAGTCACAAAGAACCAGGCAGCTTGACCCTTGCCAGGAAAGGCCCAGGACACAGTGAAACTGACAAGACACACGGTCACAGAAGCCGCACACTCACCGTCTGGTGACTTCTGTCGCAGTAACGCAGCCCAAAATAATCTATCTCCACAAGGTCGATGTGCCGGAAGACGTGCTCCAGGACGGCAGAGCCTCGTGTCGATTTCTGCAAGAGAACACACAATCTCAGCACAGCCCGGCCCCCCGCCCCGGTCAGTACTCTCATCCCAACAAGGCCACCTGCTTCCTCCTTCCGGTGGCGCCTCCGGCAACCACAAAACTGTGACTTGAAGCGCTGTCTGTTGGAAAACCTATTTGGGAAATAATTTTTTAAACTGTGGTGGGCTTAGACAAACAAAAGCTTCTTTTCTTATGGGATTATTAGTTACTTTAGCACCATACTCTTCTTTTAATAAACAAAAACTTTGGTATGAAAAACATCTACTAATTCGTCAAGAAACACTACGGGCTAAAACCTCATGATTCTTCCACTTTTTGGCAGCACCAGTACAGAAGAGGGAGGAATTAAGATGAAAAGGCCTTCAATCCTCACATGACAAGCCCCACACCAAAGCTCCATGTGGCCCTAGCCAAGTAGCTTCCCTTCACCTCTCGCCAAAGCTGACCGCTCTCCAGGAGGCACAGCTCTCGTGGTCGCCCTCCCACTAGTCACACATTCTTTCAGCTAACATTCTGATCATCCGACAGGTTGCTTACCAATCACGCACGCACACAGGAACCCTCGGTTGAGCAAGCACTGCGGCCCTCGCCACAGCATCGCAAGGAGGAGCCAATCGGGAGGACCACAGCCTCAGACCGCTCCTGGCCTCTGCCCCTCACCACCATGCAAGAACGCTCCCAGAAGCCAGATGCAGGGAGCACAGCCACGGGCCTCTGTTCACCTGCCCCGACAGCTCACCAAACACGCGCCCTGGGACCAGGGAGAGCCCCACGCCACACAGCTTCCAGCCAGCTGACCTGACGCCAGAGAAATGTTCCGCCGATTGGCTCCTCCTCGGGAAGCGTGGCGTCGCGGAGTGCCGAGGGGCAGTGCGGAGACCACGCAGGGGGAGAGTATTTCACTTTCCTCTAAATGACCTTGGCTAAATGCCTGGCTCAAAGACTAAATCCTCACCTTATAAGCACCAGGATCCCATATGGGCGCCGGTTCTTGCCTTGGCTGCTCCACTTCCCATCCATGTTACCTGCTCCTGACCTAGGAAAACAGCAGAGGACGGCCCAAAACCTTGAGACCCTGCACCCTTGTGGGAGACCTGGAAGAAGCTCCTGGCTCCTGACACAGCTCAGCTCTGGCCACTGCAGCCACTTCGGGAGCGAATGAGCAGATGGAAGATCTTTGTCATTCTACCCCCCATAAATCTGATATGCCTTTCCAATAAAAACAAATCTTTTTAAAATCCCATAATAGCTGCATCAGTGCCTCAGTATGTCCTAATGGATCTCTCTGGCAACGATACCATGATGAGTCTTCCTCTGCTCAATTCCCTGTGGAAAAGTCTGGAAGGGGAACTACTCATTTGAAGAATAAGCAGGTGCTTCATAAAGTTCCTGGGAACAGAATTAAAAAGCTAGGTTGTTCTTGCACAGAAACAGCCAAATATCCATATAGTTTTTCTAGAATCAGCATTTTCCACAGACTTTTAAAGACCTCCCCATCCTATGCGTGAATTCCCAGGATTTTCTTTTTTTTTTTTTTTTTTTTATTGTTAAGGGGGATATACAGAGAGGAGAGACAGAGAGGAAGATCTTCCATCCGATGATTCACTCCCCAAGTGAGCGCAACGGCCGATACTATGCCGATCTGAAGCCAGGAGCCTCTTCCGGGTCTCCCACACGGGTGCAGTGTCCCAAAGCTTTGGGCTGTCCTCGACTGCTTTCCCGGGCCACAGGCAGGGAGCTGGAAGGGAAGCGGGGCTGCCGGGATTAGAACTGGCGCCCATATGGGATCCCGGGCGTGCAAGGCGAGGACCTTAACCACTTGCGCCACTGCGCCAGGCCCCCCAGGATTTTCTTGCACCATTCTTCTAGGCCCATTCCCCATGAACTTTGTGAAGAATGCACACTTAGAACTGCAATGGCCTGCCAGGAGAACCTCGCGACCCGGTCCACAAGAACACGGCTACCCACATCCTGGCCAGCACTTGGCTTGAGCAGATTCTCCAGTCTGATTGAGCGATGCCAGAGGGGACAGACCGTTGTGACCGACACCTTCCTTGCTCTAGGGAACGTGTCCTCTCGTGTACTTCCTAGCATGCAGGGTGGTGGCCGACAGCCCAGCGCCGTGTGCGTGCAGTCCCAGGCCTAACAGTCACATAGTTGTTGGGGTACCCGCAGCTCTTCGTTTCCAAGCCAGGTCCACCTGCCCCCCCACTTGCCACAGAGGCTACTACCTCCCTTCAAATTTCAGACAACTTCCGCCTCAACTACCCGAGCATGCCAGGACCAACACCACCAAGATTTTAACAGGTTTAGCTGTTTGCTTGATGCCCTCATTCTTCCTCAAAATCATCACTGCCAAGTCTTAGACATTTTTTTTCTTTAATAAAGAAAATTCTGGAAATCATCTTGACTACTTCTGGAATTTAATGGAATGCAATGGGATGAACAGACTGGCTGGTGAGGGGAGTGATGCATTTATGCAGTCAGATCCGGGCTGTTGCTTCTGTGTCCCACAGGGAGCTGTGCTTCCTCACCAACACCTTCACAGCGCTCTGGGTGAGGACTTTCCTATCAAACTATCAAGTGACAATGGTGTCCCAGATGCCCAGTCCTGATCCTGGAACCCAAGGGCACAGCACTCCCGAAACCGGGCCAGGTCACATGGCCCTGCCCTCCCCAGCACGTGCACCCCAAAACACAGAGTACCTTCTGCAGCAAACCTCAGAGCGGTACTCGCTGGCAGACCCCTCCCTTAGGAAGACGGGAGAGGCCCACAGAGGAGCAAGGACGGTCCCAGCACACACCCTGCCACCGCTAGACCGGTCCCCGCCAGCAACCGGGAGGGGCAGGCACCAGACCCCTTACAGATGTTCGGAGCGGCCCAGCCAGCCAATCCCCAGCCTGGGCCGAGAAGCCAGAGCTGTTCTGGGTTCCTGCCCGCAGAACCACAAGATGGTGAAAAAGAGTGTGCCTCTGTTCATGCTAACGCATGATATGGGACAGAAAACTGGCACTGCCAGGCAGTCCTCGCTGGGCACGCTTGCCGTGATGGCTTCTGGCTGGCTCTTGCCAAGGTACTAGAACGCAGCTTGCTACAGTCTCTCACCTGTGGATTTTCATTTTTCTCCTTCAACATTTATCTTATTTTTATCGGAAAGTCAGATATATAGAGAGCAGAGACAGAGAGGAGGATCTCTCGTCTGATTCACTCCCCAAGTGACTGCAATGGCCAGAGTTGCACCAACCCAAAGCCAGGAGCTTCTTCCAGGTCTCCTATGCAGATGCAGGGTCCCAAGGCTTTCGGCCGTCCTCCACTGCTTTCCCAGGCCAGGAACACGTCGCCTGCTGGGTTCCTCAGACACCACCCCGACGGCCGACTAGGTCCCAGTCCCCACACACCCACAGCCACCAATGCAGGGACACCTCAGAATCCACGCTCACCTTCCTCCATGGTTCCCCTGCCCATGTCCTCACCTTCATCTGCCTTTCATCTCTGTGGGATTTTTTAAAACTAACATGTCCCCACGCGCTGCTGATGCACACACACCCTTGCCATCTCCTGCAGATCTCTCCGGAAGCCCTGGCTGACGGCCAGTCCTCCGTCCCGTCTCCTCTCCTTTCTCTCGTCCACATGCAGACAGAACGGAGGGAAAATGCAGAAGAGCCCAGCCACACGACCCCTCCTCAGACAGGGAAACAACGTAGAAAGAAATGCACCCGAGAGCGCAGCAGTGACACGGCATCCTCTGAAATGTGTGCTCAGGCCTCTGTGTGCACCACGACAGAGGTCCCACCCTGGGGCCCACTCTCCAATTCCCACCGCGGTGACAGGTCAGGACCAAAGCTGGCAGCCAGGACTCCAGGGTTCCCACAGGAATGACACGCGGCCAACAGCTAAGCCACTGCTGTGCCCGCCCAGGTGCATGGCAGCAGGAAATGGGCACCAGGCTAGAGCTGGGCTCCGATCCCAGGCAGCCCATGAGGGCACACACACAACCATGCTTTGGCTCCCACATCCACTAGAACACTAAGGGTGTTTCATACATATAATCTACTTCTAAAGCAGAAAAAGAACATTATACTCCACTCAAGAAGAATATTCACCAGGAAAGCTTAGAAAACCAGTTCAGCAATTTGGGAACCACACAGATTGTGGCGAGGTCATGCATGGGTAGGAGTTCAAAAAATAAAAGAGCTTGATCCCAAACTTTGCACAGCAGGCTTATGCAGACAGGTATAACTTTCTTCACTGGGTGAGACAGATGTGGCAGGAGTCTGGATTTCCATAAGTAGGAAAAGAAAAAAGGGCAATAGGCAAGAGTTGAGAAAACACCAAAAAGCAAGCACCCTTTTGTAACTACTCAGAAAGCTTCATTTAGATGTTACCATGTAGCAACGTGAATATGAGTAACATCAGAGTAACAGCCTGTCACTGACTTCCCGACTGACACCTGCAACATCCTGGAAGGAACTGAGCTACAGCAGGCTTAGAATCTTCCAGAAAGACTCGCCTGCAGGGAGAATTCCAGCCAGACCAAAGATTCCCTGGGGCAGGTTATGCACCCTGCCGCTGCCCCCGACGCCACACACCAGGCAGGCCCGTGTCAGCCGGCTGAGCAGGGCAAGAGCATGTCACCGCAGACAAACAGCCCTTGCCCGCCTGACAGGAGCCCCCAGGACACCCCGGAACAGCCCTCAGTGCTGCACCACGACCCCGCACGACCCTCTCCAGCCCAGCCAGTGGCCTGCATGGGTCTGCAATTCCTTCACCTTTTCTCCTAAGGGCACTACATCACAGCTTTATTGAAACACGAGAGTCTGTGTTCTCCGGGGAGACACCAACCTCACGGCTTCTCAGCTTGGGTTTCTTGGGGAAGGGAAGGAGGGCCAGGAGTGCCAGGCACTGCAGCCACCTGACAGTGTCTGACCAACAGTGGTCTCACCCCCCACGGTGAGCCAGGCCCACGCTGCCGCAGGGCTTCACTT